TCTCATCTGCCTGAAACATCAGCTCATATTGCGTGGCTCATCTCAACCCTCCCTTTCTCTGCAAGGTCTCATCTCCCACCCCAGATAGAACTGACCACATTCTTTGGCTCCATCTCTACACATGCATTGTCAGTGTCAGCTGGCCTTTCCTGGACTATAAGCTCCTTGAAGACAATGCCTCTGTCACAGGCATCTTTGTGCTCTGGTTTCCAGCTCATAGTACAAACAAAATAAATATTCATTGACTGAAGAAAGAATTCAAAGTGGAGTCCAACCTGTGAGAAAATGCTAATTAAATGTTATGACAATAGAACAAGTGTTGATCAAAACAGTGTCCGGAATCATCACAAAGGCCTGTCTGCAGATAGCTCTGTTATTAGTAAATCCGTGAAGCTTCAGTTTGTATTAGTAAACAAGTCAGGTGGGTATGCTCTATAATGTGAGCTGACTTTCAGGGACAGAAAGTGAGGATGGTGCCTCATACTGGCTTGCTTCCTTAGCAATTTGTGAAAACAAAACCCAACAAAACAATTCTCCCTTTCCCAAAAGTTGGCACTGGCTCAAGTTTTCTTTTCCAAAATACTTTCTTTGGTCAAGCAACACTCCCCACGCTATAGCTGTTAGGCATTAGTGTGCTCTGAATCCATTAGAGAAGGTCAGTCCAGAATACTAAACAGATGCACAGCCCTGAGTCTTGAGAACTGGCGTTTCACAATTGCAATGCATAACAATAGTCATCTTCTTCGTTCATGCTGCTCTAAGCTTCACCACAAGCAGGCGTACTTTAGAGACTGGCTCCTTGAGCTGTACTGATTTCCACATGGGAAGTGAGGAACAATTAATTGGAGGCAGAAAAATAATTCAGGAATGTGTTTTGGCTGTACATGCACACACATGACAAAAACAACACTTTAAATTCAGTCAACATCACAGAGACAACATGGACACCAAAAGAGCAAGGATTTTTTTTTCATAGCAAACCTTTGTACTAAATATATACACATATAAATAAAGCAAAAACAAAACAAAAACCTTCCTACCCCAGACTACCTATTAATTTTAGATGGAAAAGCCCTAGGCAGTAAGAAAAAAAAACATAACCCAGGCATTAAGTAGATCGGATAGTTAATTTGGAGTGAATGGAAAGGGCTAGATAATATTAAGTTGTCATGGTAGAAAGTAAGTTTTGGACATTCTGCTTTCACATTACTATCTAAACTTGTAAAAATACTCAGAGAAGCAGAAAGGAGGACTAAATTTAGACCCTTACTTAATGCATTCAAGAGCATGATTCATTTTTCTCCTGCCCTGGTACAGCCTGGGGAATCTGAATATACAGCCAGCAGCACATGGATGCCCTGTAAATAAATGAAAGTCGCATTCATTCAGGGGCTGGAGAAAGCCAGAGACACCCCGTTTTCCCTGCCAACAAAGGTACACTTTTAGGTACCTCACACACCAGAATGCAGAACCAGATTTCTAAGCTGGCAAGAGTCCATCTAATTTTAGCTTTGCTCCGGCCTTGGCATGAAATGCTGCTGGGCTGGAAATGAATTCTGCTGTTCCTCTCTTCTAAGTGGCTTTTCCCCTCAAGCTCCAGTGGGATCCTGACCAGCTCTGAGAGGCCATGTCACATGGGTCACACAAATGAGACTACCCAAAAGGGTGTCATCATTTGGTAGCCATGCGTTTAACAACCAGGAGCCCAAGTTGCTTCATGGCAGCCCTTAGGTTGGGTCTTGGAGAGCTAGGATTCTATATAGCAAACACGTGAGGACAATCTTGGGCTCTTTGAAAGAAACCAAACAAACCGAAAAGGAACCAACCACACAACAACAGCAAGTTGCATTCCCACAAACTAAATCAGGGCGGTAGGCAGTTTCCGGGTAGAGCAGACAGTCACAGTCCCTTCCCCAGGTTCCTTATCGTCTGCTTCCAATCACATTCTCTCACTCTCCTCCGCTGCCTAAACCCAAAGCAAACGTTTCAGTCTCCACAGAGAACTGGGATGAAGGCTGAACTATCATTTGTGTAGAGTCCAACACGGCTTAGAGGTGAAAAGCACCTAAATTATGTTGTGACTTTACAGCGACTCCATTTTCTTTCCTTTTGGTTTAGTTTTAAGCACATTTGGAAAGTAACCTTACAAGTTTCATTCCAGTATCTTAGGCTTTATTGATCTTATCGATCTTTGGTCTCTGTGTTTAGAACAAATAACAGAAGAAAAGGTGGAAGGCATATCAAAAACCTGTAGTAAGGTAACGTTGCCTCCCAGAAGTGAGGGCATCAAAGCCGCCCTCTCTTCTGAGGTGTGTGATTGATGTTAAAAACCCACCCCAAGGGCCCTATTGTACATCCATATACGTCCAACCCAATTAAGAAAGAGCATTTTCCCAAACATGAAATGGGCTTAGCAATTCTGAAGTAGAAAACAAAAAGAGTTAGCTATGGAGCACGTGCATTCCGTTAGAAATGAGTCACTCTGCGAAGGTGTGTTTGAATGAGCAGCACTTCAGAAGGCCCACAAGGGGTACACCCACAGGATGGGACTGGCAGACCCTGGGCAGGGCTGTGGGTCCAGGCGGATATGAGATCCGATCAGCCTGAAAACATGCTTCACAAACCAACCTGGACACGACACAGGAAAGAGGCAAGACATCATAGGGCAGCATAAACGATTTGTGCCTTTCTCAAATAGCTTGTAGTTGGGACTCCAGAGCAGTTCTGAATGACCAGGTAGGGCAGTCACCCAATCCCCACTGGGCCCATCCAGGGCCATAACATGAATATCAAATCATTTGGAGGACAGAAATATTCAATGACTTGGGCCAAATGTCATGACAGGTTTTGGGGGTAGCCTTCTATATCCATTTGAGAAAGGACAAATACTCGTTAGCACTAGACAGAAAACTGGCTGATTTAGCTTAGAACAGTGGCTACCATTGTAGCACGTTCAGAACATCGAAAAGGAAGGTGAGTGGTTGGGGAAGGGCATCATGAAGGCTGCATCTATCCAAGGCTGGGTCAGTTATACATTGGGATTTGGAGTTGAAATTTATTCTCACACACGTAGCGCTCCACAGATCTAATTAACAGGGTGGGAAATCCATTTTCATATTTCACTCACACAAAACACTTCTTCTCTGTCTCCAGCGGGTTTTCAAGTTCTAAACTACAATCAGCCCTTCTTTTAAAATGACAATAATAAATCCTCTTATTCAGCCAGATGGTGGTGTTTGTTGCACTAGGCTGGGTTCATAGTACAACATCAATAAATGGCCACTTGTAGAGGGACAGACAGAATCCCATTTATAAAACACACCTACACCTCCCTCCTTCTCCCATCCCAAAATGGGGCATTGTCAAAACATCCCTGGGGGCTTAATCTCTTTCTGGAGCAGAAAGGAAAACTAAAAAAGGCAAAATAATATAACTAAGTGGAAAAACAACTTCTCGGGGGCAAATAGCACATTTAACCCCTGAGGAGAATGGTCATAGGTGGGTTTTTAAAAAGTGTTGTTTCGCCTTTATGGACCATTTGAAAGCAGGCTCTCAAAAGGATCTTTCCCAGTCCCTGGCAAGCTGTCTTGGTGAAGGCTGCACATTGTCAGCCAAAGGTATTACAACCAGGAGATGGAGTTAAAATTCTTCCTCAGTGAGTTGGCTAAGTCTCATGAAACAAGTATTTGTTCCAATTAGGTGTTCCAAAAAGTCTTGATTGCCTTAGATAACGCATTTTGAGAAGGAAAGTGTGTGTGTTCAAAATCCATCGTGGAAGAATAAATGACGTACCGGTGTGTTCTGTTGCCAGGGTACACATCCTCTTCACAGGCCTGGAGGACTCACACTCTTTGCTGCCTTGTCCCTGTTTTCCTGGTCTCAGTCCTACCCGGGATGGGCAGTGGGAGGGGGCATGCTAACTAGTCTCTGCTCCTGCTCTTAATAAGCTATACTACCTGGTTATGTAACCCTAATCCGTGTCCACAGTCCAGGGCTCAGATGGCTGGTCTGTCAGCAAAAAATGTCTGAAAAATGTTAATTCAACAATGTTGGAGGGATGTTATTTCCAGAACTAAACTCCTCAGGGGAAATGAGAAATTGTTGCTCCTGGGATTCAACTCCTCCACACTGAAAGATGTTTCTTTAATGATGCTTTCTTCCCAAAAAATTTCCCAATGCCTGGTGTGTCCTGACATTTGGTCCAAATAAAATCCTGGAACAGACTCCTAGGATACAACTATCTTCAAACTCCATACAAAAGGAGTGTTTATTACAGAGAATCAGCATCTATTAGGGCATGAAACCTTGGGGGCCTGCTGGCGTTCATTCCCCACGCTGAATCGTTTCATAATATAGATACTATTTTCTTTTTGGCATTTATAGCAAGCAAGTCAGTTTATGACCTAAGGCATTTTCCATACTTCCAGGCAATGAATACTAGCTCCCTATGAGTCTCAATAGCACATAATTTAAGACAGTGGGAAAGGGAGTTGGAGAATAGTTTCCAGTGCAAGAAAAATACCATGCAGATGTTTGCCCTTACTCTTGAATTCTGATGGTGAAATTGAGCATTGTTTATTTGTTCTGAAGTCCAACTCAAGAAATTTATTTTCTAAAGGCTGGGGCTGGTGGCTGGGGTAGAGGTGGGGAGGTAGTGACATAAAATATTCCTGATACTGAAATATTCAACACATGGCCCTGGGATTTTGAATCATAAAGTAATTTAGATCTTTTTAAGTGGTTCATTTTTTGATGAAATTTGGCATACCAGATGTCGATTTGTGTCACAGAACATGACATACGTAAGAAATACCCAAGAACTACTTTGCTAAAATTGTATATTCACCTTCGTAATTTTTTTTCCTCCAAGATAGCAAGCTAGGAATCAGTCCTCTATCTTGAGCCATTTATTGAGAACAAACAAATGAACTTGGAAAAGACACAACCGAATTGAATTTAAATACCTGACTTTGGTGTATGAGAATCATAAACTTGCTTACGGTCTATCTGGTCCGCAAACACTTCCCCATAAATCATCCAATAGGGCATGTAGAAGATGTTCTTGGCCAGTTTCCATGATGGCTCCTCATTGGGAAAAAGGATGGCTTGCCTGGCAACTCCAAAGCTCATCAGCACCACCAGCATAATGATGACAAAGTACATCATGTCTATCATCTGGAAGGGTGGGGAAGCAGAGGGAGAAACAATAGAAAACCCACATGATTGAGTGTTCTTATAAATGCTGACAATGATGGGAACCTCTGGAGGAGGTCCACTTTCTAGACTGCTGGTAAGGGATGTTTAGACAGGCAGTTGTGTCCAGATAAGAAGATGCTTGGTCTATTGAAGCCAGTGTCCACAGAATTCTATCAGTGATTCAAAAAACAGTTTAAAAAGTGCAACACAAATGAAGCCTCTTCATTTTTCATTGCTGTCTGTAGGACCGAGTCAAGGCTAGGCATAGGAGTCACATAAATGCAAGCTTAGGCCTCTATGTGAATCAGGTGCTTTTTCTCTACTCCTGGAGGAGGCCAGTGTCCTCTTTGGGTCTCTTTATTCTTAGAGAAATTGGAATTGGGATAGTTGAACTATTCCAAGAATGACTGCAATGCTGCAAACCTCCTTTCTAAGTTCTGAAAGGCTAATGAATAATTGGAAAGCTCAAAAAACAAAAGCAAAACAAAACAAAACAAACAAAAAAATAAACTGCTTATAAACAAAGCTAGGATAAACCAAATATCCATTATATTCTTACTCTTGTGACCCCACCCCACTGCATAGTATTCTACCACCAATCAGTCTCTCAGACAGAACTGCTGTTTGTGTACTTCTCCTGCAGTGTACCCCATTGGCTATGGAGGGTGTTTTCTTGGGCATTAGAATCATGCACCCTAATGAGTCAGACCTGTACCTGCTGTAGAAATGATGGATTTTCATCTTGACATGTTTATAAAGTCCTCCAGGCTGCTCTCTAAAATAATGTTATCTCTTGTTCCTCTTTCTTCCTTGTTTCTTTCCATGATGTATGTTATTTGGGATCTGTTTCTTAAATGCCAAATTATTTTCCTTTTATCACTCAAAATATTAAAAAGATGAGGATGCAATAACTATTGATTTTTCCTGGCCAGAACCCATTACCTCCTCCTTTTATAAACAGTTTCTACCCAGTATGGCCACAAGGTAGGTGTGTTTTCCAGGCCGCATTAAATATGGTACTGGCCCCGGCAAGAGTGATAGAAGGCAGGGATGTGACAAAGACAGGCCAACCAGAATCCTTTTATTGGCTTTGCTTTGTTTTGTTTTAAACTAAAGCTGGGAGAAAGAAGTTCCTTTTGTCTCTGTAATGGGGTGAGTTCATTGTCTCTGACGCTGAGTCCTCTGCCAGTGAAACTGATCAGAGTAAATGAAGCCGATTTGCAAGAGAAAGAGAGCAAATCCTGACAGTGGTTGGGTCCCTGCTTGTAGCAGCCCCTAAGGCCAGTTTCATTATGCCCTTCAGTAAGTCAATATATCCCTTCTAGGCTTAAGCTAGTTGGAGATTGGTTTCTATGGTTTGCATCAAAATATAGAATACAAAAGACTTTCTCTTAGATATTATACTTCCTGAAGGGATGCCCATCCACAAAAAAAGCCTAATGCTAATTTTATCAATGATAATGGAGGCTTCAAATTAGTCTTACCATTTTATTTTTTAATTTTTATTTTATTATTATTATTTTTGAGATGGAGTCTTGCTCTGTCACCCAGGCTGGAGTGCAGTGGAACAATCTCGGCTCACTGCGACCTCTGCTTCCTGGGCTCAAGCAATTGTCTGCCTCAGCCTCCTGAATAGCTGGGATTATAGGCGTGCACCACCATGCCCGGCTAATTTTTTTTGTATTTTTAGTTGAGATGGGGTTTCACCATCTTGGCTAGGCTGACCTCGTGAGCCACCCGTCTCAGCCTCCCAAAGTGCTGAGATTACAGGCATGAGCCACTGTGCCTGGCCACAATTTTATTTTAAAAGAGTACATTCTATGGTGTCTGTTATCGGAATTCAAACATTATAGCTTTCCTTGTATGCATTAGGACACTGGGGTCTAAACTAGTTTCAAGGCAGTTTCAAAATGCATCTCACAAGTATTGCATGACTTCAAAACCAAACAGGAATATCTTAAAATCTGACATCCATTCATATTTTAAAATTGTCTTTAAAGTTGTATGCTAATTAGTTATTTCTTATATAGTTTAGTGGTCTCAGAACTCTTTTAAAGTGAGCAAGCCAGCTGTGTCGAAACAGTTTTATAGGAAACATGGGTCTGTTTTTCATCCTCTCTCTCTTTCTCTTATTTTATAAAATTCTTTCATCATTTATTTACAAAAAATTCTATCAATGAAAAAGCACACATGGGTCCTTCATGTTGTGTTTATTTACACTGATTAAAAGATGGGTTGGGAGAGGAAGGTTTGTGCTCATGAGATTTAGAAGCTAGTTTGACCTAAGGAAACTCAGCCAGTAAATACAGAAACTGTTCTAATTTAATTTCTCAGGGTTGTTTTTGTTCAGATTGATTGTGCTGTCTATCCAGAGGGTCAAAACAATCAAAGAGAAGAAACATTCTTCCCAAACACTTAGCTTCATGTATTTCAAAGAAGTCTTAGCTTTCATACAAATACCAAAATCTGATAGAGTGGAGTGCAGAAATAGAGCATTATTAATGGGAACTGGGGCTGGCCTCCTCTTTTTAAAGCTAAATTGTCCAGTTGGTTCAATATTAAGAGAGATGATTCTGTCCTAATCTTGTAAATATCTTTCTGTTGTGTTCTACAGAAGAGAGCATATAATATATATAATATATAATGTGTATATTATATATAATGTACTATATATAATATATACAATTATGTATTATATATAATATATACATTATATATTTTATACTCTTCTGTAGAACATACATAATACACATGTTATATAATATATACATATCTACGTTATATATAATATATACATATTATATAGCTTATATACATTATATATAACATGTGCATATTGTATATTATATAATATAGATAATATACACATATGCATGTTATATATAATATGCATTATATAATATACATTATATAATACATTATATATAATGTATATATAATATATAAGATATATTTTTTATATATACTGTAGTGGTTAAACACATGTACTTTGGTGTCAGAATACCTGGGTTTTCATCTTGACTATGCTAGTAAAAATAGCTACATGGAAAAAAATCCACACAAAAAGAGTAAAAATAATTACAAAAACAAAATACAACCTTTCTTAAACATTAAAAAAAACAAAGGAAAGAAAAAGAAATACAGCTAGGTGTCCTTGAACAAGCTGCTTAATCTAGTTTTATTTGTAAACTAGGAATAATAATAACACATTTATTTTATGAAGATTAAATGAGTTGGCATGTGAAACAACGTGGTAAGTTCTTCATAAATGTTAACGTATTCTTATTATTAGAGTTGGAAGGAGGTCAGGCTGTGGAGTCAGAGAGAAATTTGAATCCTATTATTGTCCCTTGCTTAGTCTCTTATTCAATTGTTTATTAAATTATTAAACACAGATACGAAAACCTATTTCCGGGGGGTATGATGATGACATGTCTGACATGGTATCTGGCACACAGCAAATGACAGCTATTATTATTGTTTTTATTCTGCATTATGTAAGTGAGCTTAGTACTAGGCTTAGAGAATTCCATTGAGAAGTGGAATATGGAGGAAAGGAGTCAGGGTTTTGTTAAGTGATTCTGGACCAGCAGCAGATCAGTGGGAGTCTTTCCAGATATGCAGGCTTTCCGTGCTGGGAGGCATTTGGTGTACTGGCTTCTTATATTATGCAAAGATTCATAGTACCAGTTTCAAAATGGACTCCTAACGATTGTGTGTCCAGGAATCTCATCAGCTGTCTGTCCCTAGGCCACAAGGCAGGGACTTACTTGCCTGTTTTGTGCTGAATGGGAACTCCCTAATGTTGAGAGGCTTTCGGTATAACACATCTGGGCACATTTTCTTAAGTTCCAGCCTGGTAGTCCATCTGGCTCATTGAAAAATTCTATAGGCATATTTTATGTACCTTCTGGATCAGTGCATCAATTATTGAACTTATCTTAAAAGCCTCTTGAAAGAGAAGCAAAGTCCCCAAATATACTCATTTTCTACTTTTTCTTGACGGATAAATTAAGTCATTCATAAGTTAAAAGGTAGAGAAAATGCAGTGCATTCCTCTTGCACACTCCTGAGTAAGGTTTCATTCTAGTCAAAACTGGGATAATTATGCCATTATTAAGATGATAGACATGGATTTTAGAATAATCTCACTGCATTAGCATAACTTTAGTTATCCCAAATATATAAATGCTACCAAGGCTTTAAAGGGTAATATATTTGGCTTGTTTGGGTCTTGTCAGATTTTATTTGTTAAAATAAAATAAGGTAGCAATCAGAAAAAACAACCAATCTGAGTATGTAATCACAGAATGCAGTAATTCTCAACAGAGGCCAATTTCATTTCCTGGGGGACACGTGGAGATGTCTGGAGACATTTTTGTAGTCATAACTGCGTGTGTGTGTGTGTGTGTGTGTGCACATGTGCATGCTACTGGCATCCACTGGGTAGATACTGCTAAATATCCTATGATACACAGGACAGCTTCCTAAAATAAGGAATTATTCAGCCTGCAATATCAGCAGTGTCAAGGTTGAGAAAACGTGGCCTAATTTTATAACTATTATAGTTCTTTGCCTTCATTGAGTCCACTTGAAAATACATTTGAGAATCTCATGAAAGCTTGTCCCCTCTGTCCAGAAAATTCACACACCCACACATTTTTATATATAAATTGCAAAGAGGGTCCACAGATTCTACCTCCGAAGCCCTATCCATAGACTCTAAATCTAGACTCTCTGCTTTTAGACAGGAATTTTCACCACAATCTCAAATTCATTGTTAAAGTGCAAAGAAGATGATATAACAGGCAGTATAATAGAGTAAGATACACATTTTTTTCCTAGTCAAAAAATCCCCAATTGAACTGGGGTTCTGTTTTGGGTAAGTAACTCAAGCTCATGAATTCCAGTTTTTTTCTCTCTAGAATGAGTTTGGTGATATTTGCCCTAAACAGTGCTGGTGTTATAAATACCATTTGTACAGTAGGGTTAAGAATATGGCATAATAATTATACTCACCAATTTTTCCTTTTTTTCATTGTATTTAGAAAATGCAGTTTGAACATAACGATAACAGATGTAATTTGTCAACCACCAGCTATGAGCCAGACACAGCTGGTCATTTAGTATGTATTATTTCTAATAATTACAACAATAACCCTATAAGATATGCATTTATTATACATCACTACTTTAGAAACAAGTAAATCAAATCTCAAAGGGGTTTAAATAAATTGCTCAATGTGTTATATCCAATTCATTTTGAATTCAAATTCTTCTGCTCTTAGCATGAGTTTGTCAGTGATTTTGTAGGAAAAGTCGTGGTTATTTAAGATTCATTTCAGTAGAGATACACATACACATACATACACAGAGCTGTTCCATAAATATTGAGTTAGCAATGATATATATAGTAAATCTTGAGTAATAATAATAAAGAACATCAGCCAGGCATAGTGACTCACACCTGTAATCCCAGCACTTTGGGAGGCTGAGGCGGGTAGAGCACTTGAGGTCAGGAGTTTGAGACCAGCCTGGCCAACCTAGTGAAACCTCGTTTCTAATAAAAACAAAAAATTAACCTGGCATGGTGGCAGGTGACTGTAGTCCCAGCTTCTCGGGAGGTTGAGGCAGGAGAATTGCTAGAACCTGGGAGGCAGAGGTGGCACCACTGCATTCCAGCCTGGGTGATGATGGAGTAAAACACTGTCTCAAAAAGAACATCTATTAACTAATCGTTGGTTTCAACGGCTCAAGTGAAGTGAAAGATATTAGCAAAGAGGTTTTTCTTTATCTTTGAGAAAAAATATCTCACCACTGTCTTAAACTCTGGGCTCAGGTGACCCTCCCACCTCAGGCTCCCAGGTAGCTGGGATCATAGGCTCATGTCACCACACTCTGCTAATTTTTCTTTTCTTTTCTTTTCTTTTTGTTTTTGAGACAGAGTTTTGCTCTTCTTGCCCAGGCTGAAGTGCAATGGCATGATCTTGGCTCACTGCAACCTCCGCCTCCCAGGTTCAAGTGATTCTCCTGCCTCAGCCTCCCAAGTAGCTGGGATTACAAGCATATGCCACCATGCCTGGCTAATTTTGTATTTTTAGTAGAGTTGGGGTTTCTCCATGTTGGTCAGGCTCGTCTCGAACTCCCGACCTCAGGTGATCCTCCCGCCTTGGCCTCCCAAAGTGCTGGGATTACAGGCATGAGCCACGATGCCCAGCCCTAATTTTTCATTAGTTTTTGTATCATCAGGGTCTCACTGTGCTGCCTAAGCTGGTCTCAGAGTCCTGGGCTCAAGCGATCTGCTTGCCTTAGCGTTCCACAGTGCTGGAATTGCAGGCATGACCCACCGTGTCTGACCAGGAAAAAGGTTTTTCAGTAAGAGGTGTTCGTCATGGTAGAACAGATGTACTTGGCTTTTCCACATATATCTTGTAAAGGTGAAGAAGGGGACACACTCAAAACTGGGAGAACTGATTAAAAGTACCCAGTTCTGGCTCCAGGCTCTCATTCTTCCTCTAGTGAGTTTTGAGAGGAAGCTCATTTACTGATGCACTCCCAGATGCACATGATGCTGTCCTCCTAGGGTTCAGTCTCTATGGAAAAAGTGTGGAAACTGGTGTGTGGTCAAGGACTGTTGGAACAAGTCCTCGGCCATTTGTAGGGCAGCATATTAGCTTGCTACCTGGGATTTTTTCTTCAAGAATTTGATAAGTAGGAGCATCATTCCGGAACCTAGTTCTTAATAGACATCATTTTCCAGTAGTGTAACAAACACATGATGCATGATAGAACTTAATGTTCAATTCAAACCCAACCCAACCCAACTCAGCTCAGTGCAAATAAATTATATTTTTCTTTCCTTTGTGTAGGGAAAGGCATTTTCTAGAACTTTATTTTAAAACACAGGTTCTTTAAAAAATTTGTTAAAAATTTGTAGTGGAGACCCATTCCTTCTCCAATACCCAGCTAAAATGTAACCTCTGTGTGCTTTTTCTGACCTATATTATCTTTTCTATGGTTTTGTTGTACTTTATACACATTTCTGTTACAGCATTTTTCACATGGTATGGTAATTCCTCCCTCCCTCCCTCCCTCTCTCTCTTCCATCAGTTTTAATCTCATGGAAAGAACATCTTTGTATACCCAACTCCTAGTCCAGTGTCCAGCACAAAATAGATGATCTTTATATATTTTTCAGTAAATGAATGAGTGACTGATGGATAAATTACCCAGTTTTGTATACAGATGCAGTCAAATCCCCAAACATTCAGAAGGAATTTATAAAATAAAACGCCTCCAGGGCCATCTCATTTAGACTTTGATAGCAGGCCCAAAATAATTATTTCTCTCTATCTTTTATCACCACTCCTCGTCTGAAAGCTTATAACATGGATTCAGAAGACCCTGCTTACCATTTTTCCAATCATCATTACATACGGGCCCAAATACTTGTTCACGCCGAAGATGTCTAGGAGACGGATGTACCAGTAAATGATGTTCACGCAGTAGATGACCCTCCCGTCGCTCCTGAAGGGCTGGTCTTGGAGACGAAGGATCATTCCGACAGAGAACAGAAGGATGGCAATGAGGTCCGTGACATTCCAGTACTCCTGCAGCCACACCTTCACTTTCTGTAGCAACTTCCCTGGCTCTGACATCAAAATCTATAAGGCAGGAAGGAGAGCAGAGTTAGGTCTGGTTTCTGTCTATATTTTCAGCCCCATTGGGAAGTGCTTGGTCTGTTGGCTGATGTTACTAGCTTGCTTTGTCTACCTATATCTACTTAAATACTTGCATGCTATAAAAGTCCAATTGAGCTAAGCTTAGGTGATTGTTCAGCTGCAGTATTCCAAAGGCACATATAAGCAATAATTTTGATTCTTTGGGTGGTGGTAAAGTTCTAAGACAACATAAGAGTTTTGCTATAAAATGATTCAATCCTAGTATGCTGCAAATCTCTGAAGTCTCCCTTTATCTCAGTAAACAGTGCCACCATATTGAGTTCCTCAGGCTGCTCACTTGGGAAGACTCCTCCATTTTTCTCTTTCACATCCCACATCCTCTGCACCAAGTCCTATCACCTCTATTTCTAAATGCAACCTAGCCAACTACTTCTCACCACCTCCACTGCTGCCGCCCTATTCTAAGCTCCGTCACATCTTGCAGATTGCAGCAGCCTTCTAACTGGTATCCCCATCATCCTCATTGCCCACTTACCCTCAACCCATTCTCTGAGCAGCACAAAGAATGATCTTTAAAAGCCTGGATCTTTAAAGATCTGGCTGGCGATTACCAAGTTATATGCATAGGTAAAAGCTCATCAAGCTGCACCTTAGGAGTTGTTCAATTATAGATAAATTATACCTCAATTTAAAAAAATTTTAGACAAATGAACAACAACAGAAACTAAACAAATGATCATAATTGTATGCTTGAGCTTTCTGATGACGTCCATTACAAATAGTGAAAAATCCAAACTCTTTACAGTGGCCTCATTTCACATCCCACCATATTCTCTCTTATCCTCTACCCTGCAGCCATACTGGTCATCTCTTAAGCATAACAAGTTTATTCGATATTCAGGATTCTTGTACTTATTCCTTCTGTTCATCACTTTCTTCTCCCAGATCTATATTTGGCTCCTCTTCATCTTCAAGGTCTCTGATCAAATGTCCCCTTTTTAGGAAGGCCTTTTTTGACTACTTTAGCTGCAGCAGACTTCATGTCCCCAAGTCACTGTCCAATACATTACCCTATTTATTTTTTTGGAGTTTTTATCACTATATGAAGTTATCTTCTGTATGCTTGTATATGTATGTGTGTATGAGTATGTGTGTATGCCTGTCAATCAGTCATCTATTTATTCATCCATCCATCCATCCATTTTTCTCTCTTTCCTATACTGAAACTCTGAGGGCAGACCCTTTGTACCCCAGGCCTGTTACATAATAGAAACTCAATACATATTTGTCAACAGACTGACTGTTGCGTAGGCACTAAGAGCAATTTCCAGTCCCTTGCATATCCTAACTCCTTTGTGGGACCCTTGCCTTGCCTTAAACTTAGAGGGGCTACCACACATGGGTCTATGAAATGCACAGCTGGACAGCAGGAGTTGCACCCATCCTGCACCACAGACTGCCCCAGTATGTGAGAAGCCAGGGAACCCCACTTACTGAAGCTGCACCAGGGCCACCTTCCTCAATTGCTGGTGTTTGCCTCTGAGGATTCCATCTCTTCAAACCATGACCAACCCCTTTCCCCACCTCAGAACCTCTCAAAGGAGAGGAAAGATTGGAGGCTTGTGTGAATCCTCATGTCCACTATAATGATTTATCTAATTCTGAAATACTAAGGAAGACAGGTTTTAGTAAGTTAGGGCTGGGGCTTGGAAGGTGGAGCAGGGTACCAGGAGCTGCCTGGGAGCCCTATTTTTCATAGTCAGTGTCCTGCCCTAAGCCCTAGCCCAGGGTTTCTAAACTTCAGTGCACATCAGAATCACCTGGAGGGCTGGGTAAACTATCCATGCCGGGCCCTCAGTCTGGAGTTTCTGCTTCAGTAGGCTGGGGGTGGGGTAGAGGATTTACATTTCTGACAAGTTCCCGGCTCCTGCCTGGTGGCCCCAGTTTGAGAACCACTGTCCTAGTCACCAGCAATCTCTGCAGCTGGTGTTGTCCTGATGGCTTCTCACTCCCTGGCTGCATCTTAACGGAGCAAAAATCCGTGTCTGTAGCTGGGAGACGGGTTTGATGGGCAATGCCTTGAGCTTTTCCAACCCTTTGCTCACACTCTCCTAAAACTGCTAAACACAGAGGTTTGTAGCATAATTTTTAAACAGTGAAGCATTTTTTAGTAAAGTCCCAACATTAAAAAAAAGAGATGAGATGAGAGCAGAATAGTCCGGGGTGAAGCAGAAGTGGAAAGTCGAGTCCCCCCTCCCTCCTCCACCTCTCGAACCAGCCCTCAGGCACCTGTCTTAGAACCCTGGGAGCCTGAGGAGCATCGTGGGGGAGTAGAAAGAGCACTGAGTCTAGGGATGGATCCGTCAGGTTTCATACTCAGTTGTCCTTTCTAGCTGCGGGATATGGGGAAATGGCTTAAACCCCAAGTCTCAGTTCCCAGACCTGTGCAGTGGGATGTCATCATAGTCACGCCATCGACCTCATAGGGTTGTGGGGTCGGGGGAGGATCCAGATGAGATAACGTCTACCCACGCACACTGTAAACAGTGCCATGCTATTAAGGGATTACCGGGGCTTGCTTTAGTGACTCCAGGCAGAAGTATGTGGGCTGGGAATGGGGGCATCATGGGAAACCACAAAGCCTTCCTTGTGTATTCCTGGGAAGGCACCAAAGCATGCAAACTTTTCCACATTTCCAGGATCTTGCGTCTGAGCCCTGGAGGTCCTGCGTGCTGACTGTGAGGAGGCAGGAAGGGCACGGCCTGTGGGGTCCTCACCCCGTGGGGTCCTCACCCCTTGGTCGTCAAGCAACTCTTCAGTGAGTTCAGGGCAGGACACAGGGGTTGGGGCGCCACCTCACTGGGCTGCAGAGGAAAAGGTCAGACTCGGAGGTGGTCACTGCCTCACTCCCCACAGGAAGCGAGGAGTCTTCAGTTGACCCCTTCCTGACCCCAGCCTCCAAAGCCCTGCCCTCCCTACTATTCTATGCCTCTTCAGGAGAAATGGATATCCAGGCCTCGAGGCTCCTGGCAGCTTGCCCATTTGGCTGCCTCTGCCAGAACAGTCCGTGGAGTACAGACTGCTCCCTGTCTTCTCCCAGTCTGCTCCCTGGAGAGACTCCAATCTCCCTGCTCGAGTCCTTCCCTTTTCTGCTTATCATGGGGAAGGAATATGCTTCTAGGCGTTAAATCGCTCGAGTGCCAGCTGGCACAGCACAGCCACAGGGCCCCAGCAGGAGCAGGCCTCAGTTCTCAGAGAGCTGCACAAAGACCAAAGCAAATTTATTACTGTTTTTCAGTTTACAAATGGGAAATCCACAACATTGGTCAAGAAGAAAAGGCACCATGAATGGGAAGACCGAAGTGTAGACGACTAGCTGGAACAAGGCAAAGCGTTCCTTTTTTTTTTTTTTCCTCAACCCAGGCGCTTGTAAAATGGGACTAGCAGACCCACTCCCAGGTTCTCAGGATGGGGAGAGGGTAGTCGGAGTTAAAATATCCCCCAAATAGTTTAAAAACTCAAGAGAAGGGCTTAAGAGATAAGACATTTGATCCCAATACAACTGCATCTAAGAGATACTGCATCTTTTCTCCGGAAGAGAACATTCTAGAGCTGAAACGCTTGCCTTTTAACCTGTCTTTGTAATGAAGGCAAGAGTGAAGTTGTGGATTTGCAGGAGTCCGTTTTTCCTATGGTGCCCAGTATGTTTTCCCACCCGCTGTAGTACAGCAATTAGGGTTGTTCCTGAGCTCTTAAAGACTCAGTGGACTTGAATGGGAGCATTTCCTCCAGAAAGGGCCTGTCCTGCTTACTGTCATTTCAGGAAAGAGAAATCAGCACTACCTCCTAAACCTTTCTTCCCTAATGGCTTTCCCTGATGAAATAGGAGCTCGGGGTGAACATTGAGCGGGGCTGCAGAGCCCTCTTGTGGACTTTTGCTTCATCACATTCTTTTTAGCAGCTCTGAATCTGATGGGCCCCTGAGGTTGGCTCTGATTTCAAATAAACCACTTAGGGGTGGCATTTTGAGGGCTCCCTTTAGGCCATAGAAGTTGGGGGAGAAAAGAGGGGACGCTGCACCCACAACCCGAAGGACCTGCGTTCAGTCCGCCTTGGTGGTCCCTACCGCTGGCTGAGTGGTTGGTGTCCAGCAGGTGCGAGCAGAATGTTGAGAAGAAATAAACCAGAGAATAAATCCAATGAATGAGTGAAAGCAGAATTCCTCCTAGAACAGCCGAAACACATCTGGAGAGTCACAGTTATTGGCAGGCTGTGTCCGAAGACACCCAGAATAAGGGGGTGAAATGGGAGTTAAAAGTGGCAAAATCTAGAAAGTCATGTTTATAGGGATGAGGAAAGACATGTAAATGGCATCCAAAACAACTGGAGGCCTTCTTGGGACAAAAGCTATGTTAGCAGAGAATAGACCAAATCCTAAGCACTCAGGGAGTTATACCCCTTTCAGCACCACACTGTGAGCCTTCCCAGGTTTGTCAGAGCTAAGCAGCAGCTGTGGTAGCGTTAGAGAAAACAGTTTCCGGCTTCATTTGCATCCCAGGCATCTTCCTGTCCCCTCCGTCCACAGATAGAACTTAACCACTGTCTTTCTCTTATGTTTTAGTTTGTAAAAGCTGTTACCTCTCTCATCTTTTCTATTCCCAGGGTGAAAATATAGGAGATGACGATCCATTCCTGGGTGGACGGCCAGCGTTCCATCTTCACTAACACGATATAGTTGAAGAGCATCAGGTATCCGATATACGCCAGCTGTAAGGAAATACAATACAGTGGTCTGGCTGTTCAGGCCCAGGAGCCTCAGCGTCAGCCACGGCCACTGCACAGCAGCACAGAACAAGGTCAGCAAGCAGGACACAGAATTTATGACAAAATGAACTCAAGGTGCTAAACTACCGAAAGAATTAGAAAAGACAGTAATACTTGAAAGATTATAATATGCAATCTTCCTTTTGACCCGTACATGTGTCTCTGGGGGCTCTGGTGCTTTGCTTAAATCTATGTGTCATGATGCATCATTTCGTCTTGCAGTTACCCATTTCTGTGTGTGTGTTTTCTTGGCTAAAAAGGGAACCTTGGCTGTCAGTGGCTGCTCTTGCTCAGGCGTGGACCTTAGGTTCTTAAACTAGGGCAGCACAGTGGATTTTTGCTTCATGAATGCCAGGCAGAATATGTGTCTGTGAGAAGAAAAGGAAGACGCATGTAACACCTGTAAACTGGTCAACCCAACATAAAATTAGCCCAGGCTTAAAGAGTTTGGTTTGTCAGTGCCCTGGGAGGGCTTCACGTGTTTTCATTTCACCACTTTCCTGCCCTACCCAAGTTAAAATATTCCTCCTTGGTGTCGGCTTCATTGAAATAACACAAGAAAAGACAACACAATTTATAGAAAGGAAAGGGTCTGTGTGGCCTTTTGTGGACGGGCGTGGGGTTTAATCCCCAAGAGGCTCTGGCTCTTTGGGGTTGAATCCTGATGTGACTGGCTGAATTGCTGGATGTCTGGGAAGCACTCCCCAGGGTTTGGTGACTGTTCTTGGAAGATTCAGTTGTGTCAAGGTGAGTGAAGTGCAGAGAAACTAGTGAGGCTCTTGCATAAGGGGCTGAGGAGCCTTGAGCAAAGACTCACCTTAAGGGAAATGGCAGACTAGCTGGGCCTTCCTTAGGCAATGCTGCAAGTTGAGTGAGGTACTCACTGGCCTTAGGGACCTCAGGGGCCGTGAGCAGGAACCAAGAGGGAGTTTATTAAAATCTGCTGCACTCTTCAGAGTGGTTGTACCAAAGAATAGACACATTGTGGGTGAAAGGATGGAGGCCTTGAGGGGTCTGGAGGTACTGTGCGACTTTGGAGCTGGGAAGGCAGCTTAGAAGATGGAGGAAGCTGCAGCCTCTCTGGGGGATATGCTGCTTTCTCTACTAAGAAAACTTCCTCCCTCCCTCTCTACCTTCCCCTTTCCTTTTCTAATAGAAGGATTCTCTTATGTTTTGAGACAGAGTCTCACTCCCGCCGCCCAGGCTGGAGTGCAGTGGCATTGTGATCTCGGCTTCTTGTAGCATTGACTTCCTGGGCTCAGGTGATTTTCCTACTTCAGCCTCCTGGGTAGCTGGGACAATAGGCACGTGCCACTACAGCCAGCTAAGTTTTTGTATTTTTAGTAGAGACAGCATCTCACTTTGTTGGCCAGACTGATCTCAAACTCCTGGGCTCAAGAGATCCCCCCAGCTTGGCCTCCCAAAATGCTAGGATTACAGGCTTGAGCCACCATGCCCGGGTGAATGAATGGATTCTTTTTTTTTTTTTTGGAGACTGAGTCTCACTCTATTGCCCAGGCTGGAGTGCAGTGCTGTGATCCTGGCTCTCTGCAAATCTCCTCTTCGTGGGTTCAAGCGATTCTTGTGCCTCAGCCCCCCGAGTAGCTGGGATTGCAGGCACCTGCCACCGTGTCTGGCTAATTTTTGTATTTTTAGTAGAGACGGGGGTTTCACCATGCTGGCCATGAACTCCTGACCTCAAGTTCATCACTTAAAGGGTGAAGTAGGTCGGAGTTAAATAAGATCACTTATGAGAGCTGGACATCTGGGCTCACTCTCTACCTGCATGGTTTGTGCTGGCATCCCCCCACCCCCCAGGCCCTATCATTTCAACCTATGACTAGGTTCCTACCCCTCCCCATCTTCAGGAGCATTGGCAAATCATGAAAACTTCTCATGAAAGAGTTTACTTAAAATTGTGTAGGACGCTGTTTAAAAATCAGTTCAAAATGGAACTTGGTTCATATGGTTTCCGTTTACCATTATAATACACTGGCATTAATTCTGTAGTCCTGTGAGTACAGACTGCAAAAAACAAAAAAAGGACTTCAGTGGTTAGAACTCTAAAATATACTCTCAGCCTCCTTCTGACTTAAAATCCTTCTCTCTCCTTGCTTCCTTCTCTTAGTTGGGTCAAATTCCATCACTTATAGGGGAAATGAATATTGTTAACTGCCCTGGTTTTATCATTTTGCCCAATTCATTGCAAAACATTCCAAAGAGCATTATCTTATCTTTTCATATGTAGGCCCAGTGACATGCACATTCTTCCAGAACTTCTGCATTTTAGTACGTAAGTAACTCCTTGAACCTACATCTGTCCTCTGAATACAAGTCTAATGTGTTTAGTGGAAGGAAGGTAGGCATAGGTATCAGTGATGCTTGTATTTAAATCATTTAAATTCCAGCTCACATACTTTCTAGATGTATCATCTTTTGTAAGGTTAACCTTCCTGGGCCTCCATTCTGTAACATGGGATCACTTCCACTTTCCTTATAGGGCCTTTGTAATGACTAGGGATCTAGATATCTATCTGTCTGTCTGTCTGTCTCTCCCAACACACTGTAGAGACCCAATAAATGCTGGCTAATATCCACCTCTTTTTTTCAAGAATTCTTTTTGTTTCCTCTTCCCTTAGTCCTTACTTCCCTTTGATCCCCAATTAATTAACTATTCACACCTCTCCCCTGTTTTTTCTTTTTAAAATTGCCCTCATTATTGGTTATGCTTCCTCCACATTCATCATTTTTAGCCCCTGCCTGGTTTTTACATCACAGTTACTCTATAACGAACTTTTTCCATAGTCAAGCTATAATATAATATTTTGGTACAACTCTCAAAATACAGACTTCTGAAAATAGGGTCTTATGTTTAGATGGCACAACAGAGGACTGGCTGCTGTCTTGGAAGCAGCCTATCACAGAACTCACCAACATTCATGCAGCCTTGCTGTAGATTATCTTGACATGACATGCTTTAATTGTATGTGTGTGTATATATATATTCTGTAAGCTTTAACAATCTGCATGTAGAATGTCCAAGCTTTTGAACCTATGAGTCTTATTTAAGTCAGTGGGAGAACTCTAAGAATTTGTATGTTATTAACATATAATCTTTCTATGCATTTTCCATTAACTAAGATTCATGCTGCTTAAACTGTCAAACACAAGCACCAAAGCCTGCCGCAGCTTGCTATGGATCCCTGGTGGGGCTTTGCTCTTCCTCACTTCTACCTGGGCCTTTTTCTACTACCTCTGGAGAGCAGAAGGGCACATGGTCTCGTAGAGGGTAGAGTTGGTCACTGCTAGAGAAACTCAGAGTATGCACTGTGTCCTCTGACCTACAGCCACTTCACACCTTGAATTTGAATCCTCTCCAGCCGGATACCTGAAATAGGCTCTCAACACAAGCAGGGTCGAGGAGCCAGCTGGACCCCTGCCTGCTTTCTTCTCGGACCAGAAGAGGACCCAACCTACTCCTAGAGAAACTTGCTACAATGCAGAAGTGAGGTTACATGGAAATGAGGTGTGTCCTACCTTTCAGAAACTTGGGAGAGTAGGACACACCATTTTTGGAAATCTGGTGAGAAATACTCTTACAGAGAAAAACACAGCCCAAAGTAAAGTACATGGGACCTTCAATCTGAAACTGAATTGTATTGTTAGGCATGTCTGGTGATTCAAAAGACTGGCATACCTCATTTCCGATCACTTCCTCGAGGCCTGGGCTTTGTCAATACGTGAAGATGAATTTTGGAGAATCATGAAAACACAACTGAACGGATCTGGGGGATCCAGTCTGATGGGTTTACTGAGGCCAACTTAGCCATGCAGAAGAGTGCTGGACACACAGGCCCCACCCCCCCCCCAAAGAGGCAGCCTCCCAACAAGCTGCCAATGACATAAGCAAAGCAGCGTGTCTCAAGCATCTCTAATCACAAGTTTCGATCACAAGTTTCGCCTGGGAAGCTAGTTAAACTAACACAGCCTCTTAGGCTCCTTCATGAAGATTTGATTCCATGGGTCTATGATGGGGCTAGAAATTTGCATTTCTAACAAAACGCCCTTGTCATCATGGAAGTTTTAGAAATGTTGATACTATTACGTCTACTGATTTCTCCTCTCAGCAGTCTGTAAACTTTTTCTGCAAATGGCCAACTGGTTAACAACTTTTAAGGCTTTGTAGACCTGATAGTCTCTCTCTGTCTCTCACCACTCATTAACTCGATGTGGTAGCACAAAAGCAGGCAGCCTACTGGTAATGTTAAATGAGGTTTAGCCTAAAGCTGCCTCCTTACATATTTTAAGTTCGGCCTAAAGTTTTCTCTGTACATTGTGAACTATAACAAATGAAGGTGTAACAAGACCAATCACTGAATTTCAGTCAATCAAATGTAGCCACCTGCTCAAAATGTGTTCAAATAAGGCAAATGCTGAGCTGTAACCAATCCAGCTGTTTGTGTACGTCACTTCCGTTTTCTGTATGCCACTTCCCTTTTTCTGTCCATAATTCTTCCACCACGTGGCCCTGCTGGAGTCTCTGAGCCTCCTCTGGCTTGGAAGGCTGTCCCATTCACGAATTGTTCATTGCTCAATTAAATTCCTTTAACAGAAATTAAGAGTCTGCCTGTGCTCCAATTATTTATGGACACTACAATTTGAATATATGTCTCAAGTATTCCTTTTCAAATTTTATTTTGACCCTTTAAAAATGTAAAAACCATTCTTAGTTTGTAGGCCACAGTCATAGGCCATGGGTTGAATTGGGCCTGAGAGCTGTAGTTTGCCAAGCGCTGTTCTAAGCTAACAGTTGGGGTATCATAATATTAAAGGAAGGACAGACCTGGGTGTAAAATAGCTTCAAAAATATTATCTTAGGCTGGGTGCAGTGGCTATCGCCTATAATCCCAGCACTTTGGGAGGCTGACGCAGGCCCATAGTTCGAGACCAGCCTGACCAACATGGCAAAACCCCATCCCTATTAAAAATACAAAAATTAAAAATACAAAAATTAGCTGGGTGTGGTGGTACACACCTGTAATCCCAGCTACTTGGGAGGCTGAGACATGAGAATCACTGGAACCCAGGAGGTGGAGGTTGCAGTGAGCCAAGATCTTACCACTGCACTCCAGTCTGGGTGACAGAGTAAGACCCTGTCTCTCCTAAATAAATAAATAAATATTATCTTGATAAAATGGTTGTTAGGATTACAGAGAGTACTTAAATAGTACCTAGAACATTGCCTCAAACATAGTAGGTGCTCAATAAAAGATATTATTTTTGTTGAGTGGATGGATGAACACAACACAACACTATCTATTGCTATGCAATGTGAATAGCCTAGAAGAAACAATAGTCACAGTTACGTTGTACTTACATGTCAAGGAACTGTTCTAAGTGCTTTATATGTTTTAACACATTTAATCTTCATTAAATCCTATAAAATCAGAACTACTATTATTGGCATCTTAAGAAAACTGTGGACAGAATGGGAAATTAAGTTCTTTGAGGGCACATGGTAAGAGGTGCAGATGGGATTCCCACCCAGGCTGTCTGATTCCAAAGTCCATGCTTGTCACCACTAAGCTGTTTTCTGCAAGGTTAAAAATAATATAGAGCTGTATAAAATATATGAATAGAAATGATTTTTGCATGCCTCAGTTATTTTTGGGGGGAGATAATTTTTCTCTTTTCCTACCATTGATAAATTTGAATTTTTACTTCACTGAAAACATCTAATATTTATATTTTGATAATATCCTATCCTCTCTCAAGACCACACCTCAAAGAGGTAGTTTCCGAATGGTGGCAATTTTATCCCACAAGGGGACATTTAGCAATGTCTGGAGACATTTTGCTTGTCATACTTGGGGGATGAAGAGTTGCCCCTGAGTAGAGGCCAGACATGCTGTAAAACATGCTACCTGTTGAGGGCAGCCCCCCACAATGAAGAATTATCCTGCCCTAAATGTTAATAGCACTGAAGTAGAGAAACCCAACTTTAAAGTCAATGTGAAGTGTTAGCACACAGGACCACATGAAAAGCACCTCATCTGGTCATTTGAGTCATTTTGGCCTCAGATTCAGATTATCCTGTTGCTGACTCAAATGACTGCTATGCAGCTGGTTGTGGCAAGGGCTAAAAATACAGATGCACTATCCTTCATCTGGCACAGTTCCACTGTGGCTGGAAAGAATCAGAGATGACCTGGGCCAAAAGCTCACCTTAAAAAATAATCACTGAACAGTAGACGTGGAGAACCAATAATTGAACCATTTCTACCATATCAGAAGGTCATTTCAAGGACAATCCACTCTTTTGTAGGCAGAAAATGTTTACATGATCTGCATACTAAGCAATATTAGCCATGATTGTAGGTTTCCTTTGAGTAGTTTTTGCTGCTGCTGTTTGCATATTGTTAATTGTGTTGGAACAAGAAAGGTTGTTTGATGACACTAGCAGATGTAGTTACACACACACAAGCACACACACTGCCTTCTTTAGTGGTGTTACTTCCACACTCTCCTCACTCCTTACCTGCCAAAAGTAGCCCCAAATCCAGGACTGGCATCTAAAATGGGCAACTGTGATCTAGCCCTCATCCATTCAAAACATCAAGTATTTCAGAAAAGTGTATCTACTTTCCTGTTAGACAAGACTCATACTCATCTCACCTCTATTTCTGTTTGTTCTCACCTCCACCATTTCCTCTATTTTCTGAGAGGAGGCAAAATGTGGCCTGTGAAAGCTGCCTAACAAAATGCCACAAATCTTGCAAAGCTATTGAAAAAGCAAGGTCACAGAACTTTCACTCCTGTGTGTGGCACTTACGACTTGCAGAGAAAACCACACAGGTGCATGAGAAATTGACATTGGCTCCTTGTGGCCATCCACTAGGCAGGAGAAAAGGAAATGTGCTTACTGTGTAGAACCAGAACTTCACGATGGGTGCATTGTAGAATTCATAGATTTTTCTGCCGAGGGGGATTAACCGGTGCCTGCTCTGAACTTCCTCTTCATCCTTCTTCCTGGAGGACTCCCCGTTGTTTCGTCCCAACATTGCCTATGGTGGAAGAGAATCGATACTATCATGGCAGGGCTCTGGAGAGCATGTAATTCAATGTGCTCATTTTACAGATGAGGAAAGGATGCCCATAGAACCTAAGAACCCAAGGCCCCAGAGATTTAGAGGTTGTACCTTTCCTGTGAGTGCATTTGCACTACACGTATCATCTGTGAATACCCTTTGCCTGAGATGGAAGGCCTTGGGTATATTTCTTGACCATTCTCTTCTCTTCCACCTTGGGTCTTCTAGAAGATGTGGGTAATAGATGATACCCAGAGTACAGAGAGGAAGAAAGAGTGTAGCCTGGGAAGGCCAGACTTCAAGAATCTATTCTTCCTCCCCACCTGCTCTCTCTCTCTCTATATCATGAAGCAGGCTAGATCTGGATTCAAATTCTGTCTCTTCAAATGCTAATGACCCTTAAGTCAAAGGTAAATTGAACCAGCATACCTAATTTATCCAAAGGTTGTGAATACTCAAGAGGTAAATGATCTGCAGTGCCTGGAACTTAGTTAGGTTAGTGATATGGTTTGGCTCTGTGTCTCCACCCAAATCTCATCTTGAATTGTAATCCCCACTTGTCAAGGGAGGGACCTGGTGGGAGGTGATTGGATCATGGGGGCAGTTTCCCCCATGCTGTTCTGGTGATAGTGAGTTCTCATGAGAGCTGATGGTTTAAAGTGTGGCATTTCCTCTTTCTCTCTTCTGCCACTATGTAAGACACACCTTCCTTTCCCTTTGCCTTCCACCATGATTGTAAGTTTCCCAAGGTCACTTCAGCCATGCAGAACTGTGAGTCAATGAAGCCTCTTTTGTTTATAAGTTACCCAGTCTCAGGTAGTATCTTTATGGCCATGTGGAAATGGGTCTAATACAATTAGGGACATCTCCCTGACCCTTAGGCATGTGTCTTGGCTCCCTGATTTCAAACACTGTAAATCCTGAATTACTGCTGGTACTAGTTTTATGGTGGTTCCTGTGAACACTGCCTGCCTCTGCAGCTACGTGAGACTAGGAGAAGGATTCCAGTCAGGCCTGACCTTGAGAGGTCCTCATCTCCAAGATGCTGGAAACTTCCTTGAGAATAGAATCATTTCCTTCTCATTCATGACAACAGTAGCAGTGACAACAACTATAATAATTTAACTGAGGAAGAGTTCCAGGTCCTGGGTAACTCAGATGGGAGACTGAGTCCTAACTCAGACACTTCAAATCGGTGGCACCACGGGAAAGGTTTTTAACCACTCTGAGACTTAGTTTCTTTAACTGTAAAATGAGGGTAATAAAGTACCCACTATAGGGTTGGCCTACAAGTCAGGTAGCATCTGGCACTTAATAAGTGCTCAGTAAACACTAGCTAGGCTTTAAAGTGAACTGAGACCTTCTTACACACTCTTCACTAAAATGATCTAGTTGAGATCACTCACTAGAAAAAAAAGTGTTATTAGAATCTATAACAGCATACTTTCTTGGCTTTAATTCTTCAGTACTGTTCTAACACAAAGCTAGTTTCACAAAGTTTGGAGATTTTTATAACATGTGAGGACAGGGTAAAACTTTATAACTGCTCAGGACTAACAAGGATTTGGGGCAAGACAGAGTACTGGGAAATGAGCTCAAAGCTGAGACAGCTCATTATAGAAACAATGCATGAGTTTTGAAATTGAGAATAGAGACAAACCTAGATAATTCTGGCTTAAAGCCACTTTACCCAAAGTATACAAAATATTAGTTTCCACTACTTGGTTCATTACCTCAAATATCCACTTTATTCAACTATGTAATAATCACAAATGATTGACCTGTAACCAATAGGATTTCTGGAGAAGGTAACTTCCATTCCTTTGTGGACTCTGGCTGCAAAAGTCCCTTGAGTTAATGAAGAAGTTAGATTCCATACTACGACTTATTAAAGTGTTTATTTTCATCAGTGAGTGGAGTAAATCTTTCTGATGGACATGACACACTAGACTGTGATAGAGTTCTATAAATATTGATCATTGACCTCAAGAAACTCTGAGGTTACATGACATTTGGCTGCCTATAATTTATGTAACATAATTATCATGCTTCTGTTCTGCTTATTTATATGCTTGAGAATCTAATGCTATTTGGGGACACAATGAGATGAAAGTAAAGACAGCTGGAAGGTTTTTAGGCATCTTGGGAGAGTGGCATTTTTGGGGTAACTTCTGGGGATGGTGGCTTTCCCAACAGAGCTATAGACATGCCCTGGGTCTGTGGACTTGTGGGGACTTTATTAGGGAAAGTGGAGACATTTATCCAGCACTGCATTCAAAACAAAAACAAAAACCTGTTTTGCCTTTATTATTCAGATATATTCCAGCATGAAGCCTTTGTAAAAGGCTTGTCTTTCATGGATTTAAGTAAAGCATTTTTTGACATTTCATTAATTCCAGCCTAAGCAGCTTAACTTTTGATTTTGTTTGTGTCTTTTCTCTGTATTCAGACATTTCCTTTGACATTCCTTAAAGCAGAATCTAACAGGGTCAAATATAGACACAACTGCACAGCATGATTTGAGAATCTATGCTGGCTAGACACAGATGTCAAGGCTGAGAAGTTCTTTTGAGGTGAACTAAACTACTAAAAGCTACAAAAAGGGAGTGAATTGAGGTTGATATTTCTGTGTATCATTTTGGAAGGGCCAAAGGAAAATGTCCCATTCCAAGAGAGGATATACTGGTTTAACACAGAAGCTCAAATATCAATCCCATAAAAGGAGGGGAGGTGCCAATGAGCTGCACTCTGCAGTTCTCTCCAGGTTCTGTCCACTGACCAGTGCCCGAGCAGTAACAGAATTTGCCATCAAAGTCAAGGGAGGGGTCCACTTTACAGACAACTGCTGTCCAGCCCTGAGTTTGCCAGGCCACGTGTCCTTTCCTTCTTTCCTTCTCCCTGCTGTTTCTGCCTGTGGAGAAGAAGCTCGGGCAGCAATGCTCTTACAGAGCCTTCTACTGGGCTCTTAGTAAACAAGGCGAGGGTCTATTCTCTTGTTACTAAACTTTGCTCTTAGTCTAGAGATGCATCTCTTATGGTGGCTTCTTGAAGGATCAGGTTCTCAAAGCTCTATGCTGAGCAGGGGAAGCTACCTCCCTTTGCTTTCTTCCTTGAGACCCAATCAGAGAGAATGCTGATTCAGTTTCTGGTTGTCTTCCTAGGATATGTACTGATGTCAGGACTGTGCCACACTTGACTTTGGAGGCTCATTCATCACTTTTGGATTCTTCTACATGGTGGACCAAATAGGCTGAGCAGCCACGCTTGAGACTAGAGAGACATTCTCTCTCGCCCTTAACCTACCGTCTAAAAGTGTGGTTGATGGAGTCTATATGCCCGGATTCTAATCTTAGCTTTGCCATGAACTGGCTGGGTATCCTTGAGCAATTTAACCTCTATGAGTGTCAGTTTCCTCATTTGTAAAATAGGAATTAGGGCTGGACGTGGTGGCTCATGCCTGTAATCCCAGCATTATGGGAGACCAAGACTAGAGGACTGCTTGAAACCAGGAGTTCAAGATCAGCCTGGGCAATCTCTTAAAAAAAAAAAAAAAAAGGCCAGGTGTTGTGGTGTGCACCTGCATTCCCAGCTACTTGGGAGGCTGAGGTGGGAGGATCCCTTGAGCCCAGAAATTTGAGGTTACAGTGAGCTATAATCGCACAATTTTGCTCCAGCCTGGTGACAGAGTGAGACCCTGTCTCTAAAAATAAATAATATAAATAAATAAGTAAAATGGGGCCAATAATAGTGCCTATCTTGTGGGACTTTCGTGAGGATTCCATTAGTAAGTATGTGTAAAGCACTTAGCACTGTTAAAACAATATTGGTTTATAGTGTGCCAGTCTCCAATATAAGTAGTTTGCAGGCACACTTTTTACACTAGACAACTACTTGTGAGTTAGACAACATTATTGTTCCCGTGTTTGAGATTATAAAGTTGTGCCCAAGGTCACACAGCAAGTAGGTGACAGGGCAGGATACTGGTTCCAGAGCACACGTTCAGCTGAAATATTCAATAAAGATTCAGTATGGCTATTGCCAGTTTTCTTCTAATGATCAAGCTATTATATTCTATTCGGAGGACAAAATTATGGTGAGATTGTTAGGGAAGACAGTCATCTGTTACAGAGCTGAGCCAACTCCTCCACAGATTTTTATACAAATCCTCAAACTGAAACAAAAGTTGGCCTTTCATTCAGTAAGTCAGGGACTGTGTCTGCAAATAGATCTTTAGGAAAAGCCTACTGGAAGGAAATATTGTTTACCTGCAGGAGAAACAATTCGCACTGCTGTCCTACTAGGATAATAGTGCAAAGGCCTTTTGTCACCTGAGCAAAACTAATTTTTGATTTCACCTCTTATAGCTTCTTCTGGGTCACTACAGCAACGGTCATTGGCGGGGGTGGTGAGGGAGGGTAAGGCAAATTGAGAAAGTCCTTATGGGGCTGTTGCTTGATGACTTCCAAGCTATGAAGCCTTGTTTGTCCCTTTAACAGCATGTGATATTTTTAGCCCCTGCATATGAGCCAGTGGCAGTCATGCTGCTCAGGCGGGGGTTGCAAGAAGCTGTCCCATGTCCAGCTGCCCCCTTCCCTCTGCAGAACAAAGCCTCTATGCTCTATAATTATACCAGGAAGAGCTAATAAAAGCTTTGCATACAAACCTCAAAATTCAATTAGTGCTGTAATTGTGAGCCTGACCCTGAAGACAGATACAGGCTTAGCTTCTAATCCGCAGAACAGTACCAGCTCAGTGAAGCCGGCTGCTCCCAAATCATGGATTCCCTTTCCTTCTTTGTGTGCTGAGACAGATACCTCATCTGGTTGTTCAAGAAGCTTTGCTTGTTTGGAAAACGTAGGGTGTCTTGCTTTAGAATTTCACTGGTTTGTCCTGCACCACTAGCTGGCTGCAAGATTTCACATATGGGTGGACCCTGCGGTCGTGTTATTTACACTTTTCCAATACCCTGGTCGCAATACTGAAATGAAAGCACTCCATGGTTAAACTTGGTGGAAGGCTGGGAACAGGTGTCTGACCTAAGGAGTTACTGAATCTTGAGCATATAGGTGGGACAAGTGGATTAGGAATTCTGCCCACAGAGAATAACTGTGCAATGTTTTCTTACTGTAAGCTCCATGTCCTCTTCATCTTTTTCTTTCGTGGGCTTCTCTGGTTCTTCTGCCTCCTTCTCTTGGAGGTGGATTTCCTGGGCCTGAGACATATAGGGCATGTCGTCTTTGTTCTTGAACTCCAAGCTGAGAATTGAAGGAGGAAGTAGAATTCCCAGAATTACCTAAAGTAATAATAATGATAATAATAATAATCACATTTAAAGGATTAAGATTAGGGTGGTTGTTTAGAATCAGAGAGCCTGAGGTGTGGGGTATAAGACTGTGCGCATGTGTGTGTACATGTGCACACACAGTTATATGCTCTGTGGGGGACCTGGACATCTGAATAACTAACATATTAACATATTAATACTAAGAGGATCATTTCGTCCCATCTAGGAAATATTTTGCACAGCTCAGTCTCATTTTTGGAGGAAAAAAGCATTTTGCCCAAATTTGTCTTACCCAATTAACACCCACTTTGCATGTGGGTAACAGAGGAAAAAGAGACTCTATTTAAGGCAAAAGTGGGAAAGAATTCAGATTTACATTTAGCCATTAGACAGTCCTTGATTTTGACTGTGAAATCAATTCATACATCTGTCCACTGGCATTTTTTTTCTTTGCTAATGTGTCAAGTGGAGTGGATTATGTGTTATCTGATTATCTCTGTAAAAAAAAGAATGCTGTCCTAAGTTGACCTTGAGAGAATACATGTAGGAAAGCATTTAATTCATATTAGGGCATCTTCCTGGTATTTGCTACGATACAGCAGAAAACACACACACACACACACACACCCCCACCCCAGTGGGCTCCGTATGCACTGAGAGAATCCCCTTACACACAAGCCCCAGGAGAAGCCAGCACTATATTTCTCTCACGTATAAACATCACGCATACATCTATACACTAAATACAGAAGCCTTTCTTCTGAGAGGGCGGTCTCATTCTTCAGAATGAACAAGTGTGTTTCTGCATGATAATACTGACGTCTGACTGTATTCCCTAAGTCCTCTCTCACTACTTCTCTCAATCCTAAAACAATTCTGGGGCACAAGACTTCTAAACATCAACCTCCTTGAAGAAACTGCTCCAAGGGGAGGGGCTAAGGCCCCTCTGAAGGGTCAGTAAAAATGATCCTCACGTAATGAGGCAGGGACAGTCCTTGCTTGAATGCCCACAGGGACACCAGAGTAGTTCACGGAAAATGGCTGTGAATTCATGACGCTGAATTCTGGGTGCCTGGCTGTCCTAGGAAGGCTCAGGTGGCATGCTGGCAGTCTTCAGGGGACATGACACCCTGTCCTCAGAGCTGAGAGCCGGCTTGGCTCCCTTCCTGAGGCCGGACTTGGCGGTCACTAGCAGTGTGGCTATGGAGTGCCCATGACCCACATCACAGAACCTCTCTGTGACTCTAGGCCAAGAGCCCACAGGAAGAGTGGTATGGAGAAGGGGTGCTGGTCTCATAAAACGGTAGGTGTCAGGGGCAGGGGTGAGGTTGAGGAGGGGAGGAAATGGGAAATGGGGCCATACAGGTCAAAGGGTACAAAGTTGCAGATATGTAGGATGAGTATGTACCATACAGATGTCATGTACAACATGAGGACTCTAGCTGAAATATGGTACTGTATACTGGAAATTTGCTAAGAGAGTAGATTTTAGGTGCTCTTACACACACGAGGAAGGGTAATGAGGCAAGATGACGGATATGCTAATTTGCTTGACTAGAGTGACCATTTCACAATGTATATCAAAACATCATGTTGTGTCTGGGCGCCAGAGGTTCATGCCTGTAATCCCAGCACTTTGGGAGGCCAAGGCAGGTGGATCACTTGAGGTCAGGAGTTCAAGACCAGGCTGACCAACATGACGAAACCCCGTCTGTACTAAGAATACAAAAATTAGCTAGGCATGGTTGCTTGTGCCTGTAATCCCAGCTACTCGAGAGGCTGAGGCAGGAGAATCGCTTGAACGTGGGAGTTGGAGGTTGTGGTGAGCCAATATCACACCACTGCACTCCAGCCTGGGTGACAGAGCAAGACCTTGTCTCAAAAACAAACAAAAAACAACCCCCCCAAAAAAAATCTCAAAAAAAAACACCCCAAAACCATCATGTTGTATACCTTAAATTAAAACAAACAAAAACTCCCCATATCCTTTCAATCTTCCATCTCCCATTTTTTTCTGTCTTTCTTTTCCTTTTTCGGTTTCATATTTTCCTTGAAAAACACTGAAAAGAACATTAAAAAAGCAAACGCTACACACCATCCTATTTCCCTTAAAAACAGTAACATCCCTTTCATAGTCCATTCAACCTCAGAGGTAACCGCTGCTGACAATTTACTATGTGTCCTTCCTGGTTTTTGTAGGATAGTTTGTACAGACATAACTATACATAGACACATTAAAAATGGCCTCAGATTATACACACTGGTCTGTGAGTTGTTTTTCTTAAGAATAGATTAGGATTATCTCGCAATGGCTTTACAAATAAATCTATCTCAGTTTTATTTTAGTTTAAAAAGACCTCTCAAGCACATCCGGTAAGAGTCAATGTCTCTATGACACGATGCCAAGGAGGGCCAGGGGTTCAGGCACCCTCTGCAGTGACAGGTGGCCTAGTGGGGACTCCTGGTGCAGCTGGCTTTGCTCATGCAAATGGCAGCCCCGGCAGCCCCTGCAGTACCTGTGCACGGCCATCCCCTTTGGATCCTCCGAAAAATATTAATGTCCAGGCACCCTCTCTAGAGATGCTGATGCAGCAGGACCCGGGGGGAAGCCCCAGCCTCTATATGGAAAAAACAAAACCAAGCAACACTCTACAGGATTCTGAGGCACAGTCAGGATTTAGAACCACCCGCCTGAGATAAGAGGATACCCAATCCCACCGCAGATTTTGGCTGGGAAAACTCTACCCCACCCGCCGGTCCTCATAGCCAGGAGGGCCTTGTTGGGAGCGCTGACCTTGAGGCCTGAGTTCTTGCGCATGCGGAGCCGGCCCATCCACATGTCGGTGAGCAGCATCTGGCTGCACGTGTGCGCGATGAAGTCGCGGTGTTTGGCAGCCACGGCAAGCTGCAGGCACGTGGCGTTGCTCCAGTTCTTCAGCTCATACGTCAGCAGTTTCATGGCCAGCTGTTCGTCCTGCTTGTAGGACTGGTCCAAGAGCTCCACAGCCAGCTGGCCGAAGTCTCTGAAAGACAGAATGGGTGGACAGTCCTTCAGGTCAGCTTGGAGACTTATAAGATAAAAGTGGACCTGCTGGCCAACCAGAAAATGTGGTCACTGTGTGATGTAGTTGTTTCATATGGGGTCTGGTCTGTTTGTAAATTCATCCAGCCAACATCCACTAAGCATCTACTATGTGCCAGATACCATGTATAGAACTGGGGGTATAAGTCAAACAATATATGGTCTCTGTACTCAGGCCCTCAGATTCAGTCATATGAGTGTAGGGGGTGGAGTAATCAATCAATAGAGTACAGTATGTCTTTTTTTTTTTTTTTGAGACAGGGTCTCTGTTTCCCAGGCTGGAGTACAGTAGAATGATCAAGGCTCACTGCCGTCTTGACCCCCTGGGCTCAAGAGATCCTCGCACCTTAGCCTCCTGAGCAGCTAGGACTACAGGCATGCACCACCACACCCAGCTAATTTTTAATTATTTTTAGAGATGAGGTCTTGCTATGTTGCCCACGCTGGTCTCAAACTTCTGGGCTCAAATGATCCACACATCTCAACCTCCCAAAGTGCTGGGATTACAGGCATGAGCCACTACACCAGGTAGTATGTCCTGTTAAATGTGTCAAACTTCAGTTCACATTCCAGCCTTGCCACCACAAATGTGTGATCTTAAATTCTCTGAGCCCCATTTTTCCTAGCTGAAAGAAGTGCGTAACTATGGGACCTACCTCATGGGGTAGTTGAGAGGATGAAATAAAATGTTCCATGTTTCTATATGTACCACACTGTCTGTGGCACTGTGCACAATAAAGGGGAATTGTTTGTGTCCATCCTGTGTGTGCATCACTGGGGTGATACTGACTTCCCTTAAAGTTCTGAGTAGCTCAGACCTTCCAGGACTGGGAGCCCACCTTTCCTCCTCTCCCCCGACCAGCCCTTTGCTGGGCGGACCCACCTGGAATTGTGATTCAGCTCCTGGGAAATGTCATCAACCATGTCGTTCTCAGAGGCCTCATGAGCCATGGCTTTGCAGAGCTTACAGGCCACCAGGGCCTTGGCCATGGCCTCCTCACCGTGCTGCCAGAAGAACAGGGCCATCTTCTGCCGCTTCATGAGGACAGCCCACACCATGAGCTCGTGGAAAGGGAAGGGGAAGTGGTTGATCTCAGGATCATCCAAGTCAATGTCTACCTCTTCTTCCCGTTTCTTGGTTGTCTTTCTTCCTCGCCTCAAGGGAATATCATCCTGTAATTATAGGGAAATCACACAGGCTGAGTTAGAAATGAATTGGTGCACTTCAGCAAGTAGCAATTGTATATCTTCTCCCAGCTAGCTCTGGGATCAGTACTGAAATGAACTAGGCCAGCTTCCGTCCTAAAAGAACTCACAAGCTCATCCACGCCCAACTTTAAAACAGGTGATGATAAATGCATAAGCACAGTGCTGAGGGAACATGTCAGTGTTGTTACACTCTGATTTAAAAAATTATTTTTTAATGGGCCATTTTCTTTCTTTTCACTTCTGTCCATTTATTTCTTCAAAAGGTAATGTTGTTTGTACCTAATGATGGAGAGCACTACCCTTTTTGCTGAAAGGATAAGGACAGCCTAGATTTTTATTTGCATACACGACCGTAACCACATGAACAAAAGATGGCAAATGGATAATTTATCTCAAGTTTCTGAATACTTATTAGATGCAATTCTGAAGTAGTTCTGGCCTTTGAACCTGTCACCATTTGTAAACACTCGAATAGATTTTGACTACTAGAATTTACATGCTTCCTTGGTTTTCAGGTTAGTATTTCAAATAGGATTTTTTTTTTTGTTTGCATTGCGGATACAACCTCATGGTGGAATTTTCAAAGGTGCTGTGAGGAACCCTTATGACACATTATATATATATAATTATACATATATAATGTATACATACTATAGTATGTAGTATATATAGTATTACACATTATATATACTATATATTTATAGTATATATATTACATATAGTGTATATATTATATATACACTATATATTATTATATATATACACTATATATATAGCATATATATAATGGGTAACAAAGAGAATAAATCATTGACACTAATAATTTGGACAAACACTTACCTCCATTCCCAGCAGTTTCAAGGCTTTGGGCTGTTAAAAAAAATGTTGTGAACAAAGTTAGATCAGTTAGATCTTTCTTTCATAAAGGTAAGAAGAGTCCTATTATATCTTTTTTGTTTTGTTTTTATTGAGACAAGGTCTCACTTTGTTACCTGGGTTGGAGTGCAGAGGCACAATCATGGCTCACTGCAGCCTCAACCTCCTGGGCTCAAGTGATTCTCCTACTTCAGTGCCCCAAGTAGCTGAGAGTAGAGGTGCACGTTACCATGCTTGGCTAACTTTTAAAAACGTTTTGTAGAGATGGGGTCTCACTATGTTGCCAGGCTGGTCTCAGACTCTTGGGCTCAAGTGATCCTCCCACCTCAGCCTCCCAAAGTACTGGGATTATAGGCATGCGCCTCCACACCCAGTCTCCAAGAGTCCTATTATATTTTAAACAGGTACTATAAGAACACTATTGTACCATATAGCATTTATTTTATTTTGCTAAATAAAACGCCACAAGAAGAACTGATTTATAGAAATTCCAAGAGAATTTTGGATTTGATGATTTTAATGAATCTACAGAAAATGAGGAAACTGGCCAGGCGTAATGAGATTGCCTGAGGATAGAGCCTGCAGCTTGATAATGACTTCTGTGAACCAATTTTTCTTTCACCTTCTATAACCATCTTGCTTGGCTGACACCTTCACAACATCTAGTATTTGAACGAGTGCTTTGGTCTGAATGTTTTCACACCCCAAATTCATATGTTGATATTCTAATTCCAAAGGTGATGGTATTAGGGGGGACACTTTCTGGGAGGTGATTAGATCAAGAGAGAAGAGCCCTCAGGAATGGGATTAGTACCCTTATAAAAGAGGCTCAATGCAGCTCATTCACCCTTCTACTGGATGAGGACACAGTGAGAAGGTGTCACTATGAATGAGGAAGCAGGTTCTCACCAGACAGTAAATCTGTTGGTCCCTAGATCTTGGACTTCCTACCCTCCAGAACTGTGAGAAATGAATTTCTGTTGTTATAAGACATCCAGTTGATGGTATTTTGTCGTAGCACCCTGAACAGACCAAGACAAATGAACAAGGAAACCTTCAATCAAGCAGATCGAATCATGTATTTCTCAAACCTCTGAAAAGCCTCTATTATCTAGAGACTTGGGATATTATTCAGAAATATATTAATATGTTTAGATGCTTTATGCTGGCCGTTTCCCTGTGCTGCTGCACATCAGGGCAAGAGCGAGTGGGGCCAGAGGGCCTGTGCTGATGGTGGCAAAGGTGCTCAATAGCATGGAAAGTGTCAGCACACAGGAAGCATCATTGGCCATGCTGGGAATGTGCAAAACAGGCACAGGCTGAGTCGGAGAGAAAAGGCAACTCAGAAGGACACAGATCCTGATCTATATTTAACAGAAGGTAATACAAAATTACATCTCAGGGACCAGGAAGACCAATTTTAAGCTTTTAAATATTTCAGAATGGTTGGGCACCATCTTGAAAGTTATTTGAGTAAATGGTAAGGATACAGCACTTACAGTTCCTCCAAATTGTATTTGACTCTTCACGTTAGAACAGCTCAAACTGAATCTCTCTCTCTCTCTCTCTCTCTTTTTCTCTCTCTCTTTCAGCTTCTAAAATGACTACTAGGCTAATATCTATTTCATTTTTTTCTTATTTATCCTTATTGGTGTTTTTTTAAAAATTCTGTTATATATATTTTTTCATTTTCAAACAAATCCCTTTTGTTAAATTTTAGGTGTTTTCAAAGTTCTTTACTAGTTCCACAAAATGCTTTCAGAATCAGAAAAAAACTTTGTTAAATATAAAAATCATGACTCAGCACAGTGGCTCACTCCTGTCATCCCAGCAGTTTGGGAGGCCAAGGCAGCAGGCGGGTCACCTGAGGTCAGGAGTTCAAGACCAGCCTGGCCAACATGGCGAAACCCCGTCTCTACTAAAAAATACAAAAATTAGCTGAGTGTAGTGGCATGTGCCTGTAATCCTGGCTACTTGGGAGGCTGAGGTAGGAGAATCGCTTGAACCTGGGAGGTGGAGGTTGTAGTGAGCTGAGATCACACCACTGCACTCCAGTCTGGGCAACAGGGTGAGACTGCATCTCAAAAAAAAAAAAAAAAAAAAAAAAAAATATGCCCACTACCAGCTAGAGCAGCAATTCTCAGAATGTGGACCATGGGTCATGAGGGTCCCTGAAACATTTTGAGAGAGTGTGTGTAGTCAAAGTTATTTTCGTAATAGTACTAGGATGTAATTGGGTTTGGCACCATCTTGACATTTGTACTGATGGTACAAAAGCAATGATGAGTAAAGCTGTTGGGTGCCTTAACAAGAACAAAGGCAGTGGTACCCACCTTTACCAGATGTCATTAGACTCCAGTATTATGCACTTGCAGAAAGCAAATGCAACCGTTTTACTTAAGAATGACCTTGTTGAGGACTAAAAAACAATTAACTTTATTAAATCCTTACCCTTGATTAACCATCTTTTTACTGTTCTGTGGGATGAAATGGGAAGTATACTCCTAAAATAGTTCTGCTGTATACTCAACTATCATGGGTTGTCCTGAGGAAATGCACTTACGTGATTGTTTGGATTGTATTATAGCCACTTTTTTTTTTCATGGAATATAATTTTTACTTGAAGGACTGACTGGCGGATGGACTAAGGTTGTGTAGACTTGGACCTTTGGCAGATGTGTTTGGAATGATCAAAGTGAGGCTGTTATTTCTTTTTTTTTTTGAGACGGAGTCTCGCTGTGTCTCCCAGGCTGGAGTGCAGTGGCCTGATCTCGGCTCACTGCAAGCTCCGCCTCCCGGGTTCACGCCATTCTCCCGCCTCAGCCTCCCAAGTAGCTGGGACTACAGGCGCCCGCCACCACGCCTGGCTAGTTTTTTGTATTTTTAGTAGAGATGGGGTTTCACCATGTTAGCCAGGATAGGAGGCTGTTATTTCAAGGAAAACAACAGATAGTATTTGTTGCCAATGACAAAATTCAAACTTTTAAGAAAAAATTGGGATTTTGGAAAACATATCTACTCTCCGCACCCCCACCATGACTTTGACAGCTTTTCAGGACTGAAAGACATTTCCCATGAGATAGAGGTGATACTAATGAAACTGTATAATAAAATGTGTCAGTATTTGAAAGAGCTGCATACCTTCACAAACCAATAATTTTCCATGACCAGTCTATGATGTTACAAGATCCATCAAAGTATAAGATAGACCACTGGATTTTACTTTTTTATTATTTTATTTTATTGTTTTAGAGTCAGAGGCTCACTACATTGTCCAGGTTGCAGGGCAGGGGCTACTCACAGGCATTATAATAGTATACTACAGCCTCGAACTCCTGGGCTCAAGCAAGTCTCCTGCCTCAGCCTCCTTAGTAGCTGGGACCATGGCTGGCTCGACTAGTGGATTTTAATGTAACAGAATTTGAAAAGTTCACTTATATGGTTTTAGATTTCACCTTGCAACTCATTTTTAAGAAACGGTTACTTATTAAATTTTGGTGTAGTATCAAAAAAAGGATATCTACAATTATATGTAAAGAGGATTAAAATACTCCTTCCTTTGATATATTTGTTATGTTTGTCATGTATTTTTGTGGGGTCAGATTTTCTTTATATACTTTAACCAGAACATCCTACAATAGACTGAATCCACAAGTAGATATCTAGCCCTCTTCTATTAAGCTGGACATTACAGAAATTTGCAAAAGATAAAAAATGTTCCTATTATGAATTTATTCTTTGTTTTTGAAAATATATTTTTTATAAACATATTCTTTATGTTAACATATAATAGGGATTCCTATGTTTAACTTAAAATGAATTAAATATTTTTAGAGTCTCCATTTAAATTTCTAATATGGTAAATAAACACCGATAGGTAGAATTCCCATAGATAAAAGCTCTTTGAGGTTCTCAACAATTTTTAAAGGTATAAAGACCCAAAACCTGGAAAACTGCTGAGTTTAATAATCTCAATGACAAGATTAATTTGAATTTCATTACTATTCTTTGATTGTATAGGCTCACTCTCAGCGCAATTTTCTGATTTTAATTCCCCCTGGAGACAAAGAAGCCAGAACCCAAATCCCATACACCCTAGTCCTTCCAGGAGGGGCCCCGAATTTGCAGCCAGCCTCACCCTCTTGGGGCCGAAGAGGTTGTGGTAGAGAGTCCGGAAGCGCTTGCGCGTGTAGTTGCAGCGATAAGCCCCGCCCATCAGGTACTCGATCACCAGGCCGATGTCAATCAGGCTGATTCTGTAGTCTGGGGGCAGATTCCCCTATCAGGGTAGAATGAAACAAACAAACAGACAAATCCAAAAGACAACGTGGTTTACTAGGGATTCTAGTTCATGTATTCTGTAACTAGAGTAAAAAAAATATTGAAAACAGAAACATATGAATGTATTATTATGCTGGTTAATTAATTCACCTTAAAATAGATCCAACCGAAACCTGGATACTCTCGCTTGGAAAGAAGACATAAGTTAAATAAGAAGATGCAGTAATCGTCGGCAATAATAGAAAATCAAAATATTTATTCAAGTCTTCAGCTGGGGAGAAAAAAACACCAGTGTAGAAGAAAGAAACACAAGGCTAGACACGGCAAATGCTATCACTCCCAGGCACCAGGAACTAGGTTTCCCCAAATGCTCCCCAAGCCCCTCTTTCTGCCTCTGACCCAGGCCTGTTACCACTCTCTTGATATCATTTGGTTTCTACCACCCACTAAAGGAAGACTCCTTTCAGAAGATGAGTGTCATTACCAGGGCCTCCATCAGCTGGGATTTTAGGACTCAGGTCTCCTTTACTACAAAACCTCTATCCATAATTTTAAAAAATTGATGCTTTTTTAATAAAAGAAGAGCAATATTTAGGGAGGGGATTTTGGGTGTCAGGATGAGGTTGTATATGAACATCCCTTGCATTTAAAGAGAAGAGGGAGAGAAATTGGAGAAGAAATTTTAGCAATGGAATATTTATTTTTCTAGAATTGAGATTTTTTTCATTTTTTCTTTTAAAGAGAGTAACATTTCTTAAAGATCTAGAGTTATGGTGTCTTTTTTAGCTGTTTGCCATCTCTAGATGCAAAAATAGTAAAGATTTTCTTATTATTTACTCATTACTGCTTTCGACTTCTAAAGTTTAGGTTCTAAAGAAAATTTTTGCTGTTAGGCCAAGGGAGAGTTAGTTCCATTTGTGAAAAAGTCTGAGTGCACAGCGAATTCCAATCCACTCTCACTGCCTGCTGTAGCTCCTTGCAGGAGAGCGCTCTATACCATGAATAGCTGGGTGTGACACCGCGTGGGAAACCCATGCCCTTAGATCTATTTTGGACAGACACGAGGGGCTCCATCCACTTTTGTCCTTAATGAAGGACCCACCCAGGATGCTGTGTGAGATTTCTGCCACTTCACAGAAGACGTTCATTATGTATAGTGGTCGTTTTCCAACTTTGGTGGCATCAGAATACCCTGGGGAACTTGGTGACATTGCAAACACTTGGACTTTGTCTTTCTTACTTCAATGTATCGGGGCCTCTATGTCCTTTCCTAGCTCCTCAGGTGATTCTGATGTACACCCAAGTTTGTCAAACTGCTTGTCTACTCAGTAAGGGTCTGGTGGTAGTGGTAGATTAGGCAGCAGAACTGGTAAATTCATAGTGTCAAAAGCTAATTACTTTCAGTCAGAAATTAATTAAAATTTTTTTGCTAACCTGAGGGTAGGTTTTCAGTTGTCCTTACTCAGCTTTTCTATGGGCAACTGTATTCATTTGAAGGTTCTGGGATTCAGGATTAGAGGTATCCCTCTACATCCTATCATTAAACCTAGAGCTCTATATTTTTCTTGTTTGATTTATCTTTATATCCTCAGAACCTCTTATAATATGCCTGGCATATGGTGGGCACTCAGAGTGTTTTTGTTGAAAGTATAAACCAGTAAAACAGTGAAATTAATTGATGTGGTTGGGATCAAGTCTCGGTTTGGGTTTTTTAGTATTATGTTCTCAGTAACAAAACCAACTAGCCACAATCTGTTAGTCATCCCTGGTTGGAATAGCCCTAGTTCACTATGGCTATTCTAGAAATTTGCTTTGAAATACAGGTAATGCTGTATCTGGAATTCAGTGGCTATCCTCAATGGGGTGAGAACAAAGGGATAGTAATTGAAGCACCAGCCTCAAGCATATAAGACTCCATTACTGCCTTTTTTTTTTTTGAGATGGAGTCTCACTTTGTTGCCTAGGCAGGAGTACAGTGGCGTAATCTGGGCTCACTGCAACCTCTGCCTCCTGGGTTCAAGTGATTCTCCTGCCTCAGCTTCCTGAGTAGCTGGGACTACAGGTGTATGCCATGATGCCCAGCTAATTTTTGTATTTTTAGTAGAGACAGGGTTTTGCCATGTTGGCCAGGCTGGTCTCGAACTCCTGACCTCAGGTGATCCTCCCACCTCGGCCTCCCAAAAGTGCTGGGATTACAGGCGTGAGCCACCATGCCCGGCCCATTGCTGCTTTTTAGAATTCCTTGCTGTCCCCAGAATTAGCTCCCACCCCAGGCCACTGGGTTCTACCTCTCCTTTGGCTTGAGGTACATGGCAGGCTTGGGCATCTAACTGGAGCCAGCCAGGCAAAATGGGGCTGTGTAAAGGGCATCATATATGAGGGGGAACATTTTGAGACACAGACCCCTTTCATCCTTGACGTTGGCCCTCCATAGCCTAATCTGGCATCCATTTGATGAGCTGAATAGTCCCGTCACAAAAATGGCCTCTACCCGCCTCAGAATTTCAGAATCTCCTTTGTTTGAAGATTATCTTTATCCATCTAACTGAATCAGCAAGCTAAGCTATCCTCAGGCTAAGAAAGACCAATTGTCTGCCTTCTTTATGCAAAGCATGGCAAAAAAAATATTTAAAAAGGGAGCTCAGAGAAAGTTTTAAGATAGTAACTTTTCATGTTTTAGCCTTCCCATAAAATTAAACTGAGTTTAAAAATAGTACTAATGCAACCACTTTTCTGTATTATGTTGGGGCAGACTAACAAGGCCACAGTTTCTGTATCCTCTGGCTCTCCTGAACTGTTAGGCGAGGCTGTTATTTAAAGAGTAGAAGAGTCTCAAAGACTGAACCAGCCTGGGTGAGCCTCATTCATAGCGATGGGGCTCCTATGGGGATGACTGCCCGAGGATGCCCACCCATCGTGTCATTTTCCTTGGCAGGGTGAGGAGGAAGCACAACCAGCTTCCAGTCAGCTGCCCTGGGCTTCTCTCTGTCCTTTGGCCAGCAGACACTTTCCCTTAGGCTCTTAGATTTCTTTCCAGTGAAAGGGGCTTGAACTCCACAGCCTTTATGGTCTGCAATGTTCAAAGACTAGGTTTCAGGAAAATCCTCCAAGGACTTATTGTGATGCTATAAAAAGGCAATCAGAGCAGCTCTATAAAGTTGCGCCTAGTTTTAATCTTGTAGGAATTTAAAAAATTTTAAATGTGGGCTCACGCCTGTAATCCTAGCACTCTGGGAGGCTGAGGCGGGTGGATTGCCTGAGCTCAGGAGTTTGAGACCAGTCTGGGCAACACGGTGAAACCCCATCTCTACTAAAATACAAAAAATTAGCCAGGCATGGCAGCGTGCACCTGTAGTCTCAGCTACTTGGAGGCTGAGGCAGGAGAATTGCTTGAACCTGGCAGGTGGATGTTGAAGTGAGCCGAGATTGCACCACTGCACTCCAGTCTGGGCGACAGAGCAAGACTCTGTTTTAAAAAAATAATAAAATAAAATAAAATAAAATGTGGGTAATACCAAGCCTAACACCTATGTATTTTGCTTTGAGAAACATAGATGTAAGCATCAGTTAGAATTCTAAAAACAAGACACCAATATTGCTTGAAGACCAATACTGAAAGGGAATATTTATGCTTTCGAGGTGTCTTTGGGAGTTGTCAGCAAAGTGATTATAGTAAAATTCAAAATCAATAAACATTTAAGGGGCAAATAGGACATTTTTAGAAAATGGCTATATCTGTAAAGGACTTTTAGGGGTATATATCAGCAAGAAGGTGCTGGGATCGTCTCATATAAAGCTTGATTCTTTCAGAATGATTTATGTTTGATCAGCCCTGAAGGAAGATAAATGATTCCGTGACCACTGAGGTTCCTGCATTCTGTTTGACCACAAGGGGGCAATATTCACCTAACCGAAGCCAGTGAGAATTCCTCCCTCCCCAGCATTTTCCTGCCTCTTCCGTCTTTTTTTTTTTTTTTCTTTTGAGACGGAGTTTTGCTCTTGTCGCCCAGGCTGGAGTGCAATGGCACCATCTCGACTTACTGCAACCTCTGCCTTCCAGGTTCAAGCGATTCTCCTGCCTCAGCCTCCAGAGTAGCTGGAGGCATGTGCCATCATGCCCGGCGAATTTTTTTGTATTTTTAGTAGAGATGGGGTTTCACCATGTTGGTCAGGCTAGTCTCGAACTCCTGACCTCAGGTGATCTGCCCATCTCAGCCTCCCAAAGTGTTGGGATTACAGGCATGAGCCACCGCACCTTACCATCTTCTGTTTTATACATACCGTGAGGCCACATAAACAGACCCAGAGTGGATGAAGGATTAGGGGCTGAGGAGTGAGTCGGATGCTCTCCTGGAAGTGATATTTGGAGGAGTGAAAATTTAACAAGTAATGTGTTTGAATTCAGCCCGCAAGGCTGGATCACGTGTTTCTTCACAGAGATTTTAGGGAGCAAAGAAGTTAGGGAATAACTTTTTCTTTCTTACTAGGAAGAGTGGAAACCTTCTTGGGAAAGAAGAAATCGATTTTATAACATGAATAAAATTGAATACAATTTAGGCCTCTTGGGATAGGTGTCCTGCGTTGACTCTGAGGGGGATGGCAGACTAAGTGCATGATACAATGCTGGGCCAATGGCCTTGATCACTGGGACCTGTGGATGTCACAGATTATGCATTTGCATTGCTTCTCCTAGGATGGGTATTGCCAGGCAGAGGGGACTTTATGGATACTCATTCAGAGAGCAGCCAGCAACATGACTCCACAGAAGAAACAGCCTTGGGTTGGGCCATGGCCCTGACCCCATGTGACCCTGGCCAGATCACTTCCTCTCTCTGTACCTCAGTTTATGTTGTGAAAATAGGTGGCTTGGACACAGTAACTTCTAAGATCCTGTCTATTTCTAAAAATCCAACTATATGACCACTACCTGGCAGGCTGCTCTTATTCCTTTCGGCCCACTGGTCAAAGACCCTGTTCAGAGCTTCCAAGGTTGATGTAGCTTCCAGTGATCCCCTAGAATTTGGTTAGTGGAACCAGAGGCTTGGAGACAAGGGGTGGTAAAAGGATAGATGGGGATGGGGTGGTGCTCAGTGCATCCAGCTCCTCTGGCAAAAGCAGAGAAGGTGAGCAGCACCTCACATGCCAACAGGTAAAGCCCAAACACCTTCTGGAGGAGTCTTCCTTTGCTTGGGTCCTTTTCAAATTAGAAGTCAAAAGGGATACTGGAGGAACAGTCATTCTGCCTGCTGTTTCTGTTCTAGCACTTCCCCCACCCCCTTCGGTAATGACTTTGGTAACTGGTAAAGTCTGAACTATTATTTCCCATTTCATGCCTTAACAATGGGAGGTCATGTGATTCAAATAATTTGCTAGACAGGCTTGAGTTCTATGGGTAGGTACAATTTGACAACTTGAAAATGTTGTCTTCTTTTTTCATGCTATGAACTACTAACCTGAAGCTAAGGTTTACTTCGTGCCATGCATAAGGAAACCTTTTCATTAAAATGATAGTTTAAATTCACTAATTAGATCTGCTCTTCAAACTGATTGGGGTTTTTCAGATGTCAGCTCATGATATCACTATCAGATCTCAACTGTTTAGGAAAACTTTTTTCCTTTGAAACTCATAACAAGCCTTCAAAACAAGATTGGTTCCTTCTGATATACATAAGGTATGAAATGATTGCTGGTTGTCAGGTTTACCAAGGGAGTGTGAAGAAAAAACTCCCCTGGGACAGCTTGTACAATAAAGAAAAGTGGACTGCAGTTGGTGTGAGTAATCACCCGGTAGGGACTTCAGCTGGTGAAAGCTAAGGGGAAAAGAGGACATCACCCCAGTGTGCAGTCCCATAACATGGCGATATATTGGGCAACCAATCCTCTGAAATATAATAATGCTTTTGCAATTTTCCATGCATTTAGCAGATGGGATTATGCAAATGTCCTTTCCTTACCCAAAGTGTGTCTGAAATGCTTTTTTTTTCTTTTGCATTCTGAAAAGCTCTGGGTCTTAATTCCCATGTAAATGAACTTTAAATTATCATAATTTCACCACTACTTCTACATAATACTCAAATAGCATCCTCCTTTGGTGGGGAAGGATAGTATAGGTAATTTGAAGTATTAGCACATTTAAGAAAGGAAAAAACTACTTTAAAACATACAGAGGCACAAATTGAGCAGACAGCTACTAAAATGGCAGGTTATATTCCACAGAAAAGCAGACAGACTTGGGCCACTCTGGTTTAATATGAGAGCATTGGTACATTCAATGGATTTATGCATGAAAATAGTTCAGGGAACTGGGTTGGTTTAAAACAATTTAAATTTCTGATTAATGCTGAAGAGCCACTCTTTTTACCTCATTGCTCCTAGATTGTTCCCTTGATATAAATAATTTGAGATTTCAAAACAAGCTTGGGAGCAATTCCCCACATTCAGCTCTGTTGGTCTCAAAGAAGAGGTGAACTAGAGATGTCATGCTGATTGACTTATGATGTTCTGATAATTCCTCAATGCATTCCTTTGGTTCTTAAGAGTTATTTACACACAATTTTACAGGTGTATTATCAAACACTATGCTTAAGGTCTAGGACTGTGTTCCTAACTCATGAATAGCATTTTGTACCAGAGTTAATAACTTATTCATTAATTTTTTTACAGATTAAACATATATGCACACATATATTTGCCCCCATAATTGTAAAGAAGAAAGCACACGTTAATTATTATTATGTTCCTTAATTTTGAAAATTGCTTTAAGTTCCCAAGATTTTCTTAGCATTTTAACTCTAGTTTCGCAGCCTTTGATGATCTCATTGGCCTAAATTGCTGGCAGTCACTTGAAACCACCTGAAAGTCACCTGAAACCATCTGAAAATTGCTGAAAGTCACCTGAGAAAGTTGTACACCAATGTTAATTTCTCCCTTATTCACTTCTTCCCCAAACACCAAACAAACAAAAATCTTCATTTTCAGCTCCCTTAATCCATATAACATAAAATGTAGGCACTGAGACTCCTATGACTACCATTGTTCATCTTTCTTGCTCTCCCATTGTTGGATACTTACCGTCATCCTGGAAATAATGAATTCTGCATTTCCTGCTTCTACTTTTTCCCAAGGGAAGAAATTAAACATTGGCTTTCTGTTTCTCCCTGTCTTATTGGCAGTCTATTTTTCCAGGTAAAAGGATAAATTATTTCTAGGCCAGTTCAGTACTATTCTTGGTCATTTGTTATCATTTTTTCCAGTTACTAAATTTGTAAGTAAATGGTAAATGCATGCTTATATAATGATTTTCTTGCTCTAATATTTGGATCATACTTAAAAGGAAAAAAAAATAGTTGCTTTTAATCCTTCTTCCTCCCAAATTCTTACCATTCTGTTCTTTCTTGTTAGTATATATTATTTTTGAGGTACATCTTTAGCTGAGAAGCTACAAAAAACCCTATCTTAGAGATACTTTACATGCCTTCTAATAATACAAGTGACGTGAGCAAATGTAAAAGGCAGCTCAAGGGACTTCAGAAAAGAGAAAACAATATTGCAAAGCAGAGTCCTATGGGGAAAAGAAAGTAATGAGAGGGATTTTAATCATTTATACTCAGTGAAACCTAACTGCAAAAAATCCCTTTGAAAATCAGACAAGACATTATTGTTGGGAGGCTGGGTCATTGAATTGGATGAGCGACTCTTTTTAAAGGTTTGGGTTGGTGATGACTGGGATTGAGGGATAAAGGCATAGCCGTCTCTTTAGAAAACCTCACAATTCCTTCAGGGACAGAGATTAACTTAAGGAAGGAGAGAATACCCCAAGTCATTACTTTAGAAAAACTCAAAACATTTGATTGAACATGAGCAACAACTGTCTCACTGAAGAAGACACATCAAATGTGTCTACTTCTAATCTTCTGAGTTTAGTTTTCAGGCAATTTTAAGCCAGGATGAATTAGACAAAATTGGAAGGTTCAAAGAAAAGAGAAATGGGTTTGTTGAAGGCAGATCTACTACCATGGCATGGAATGGGCAGACTAGTGAAAGATACAATCTCAGGAAAGTGGTTGTTGAGTTGGGAGTACAGATTGCATAGTGTCTTCTCCCCTTGTTTTGAAAGAACTACAGGCTTCACCCACTCAAGCAGATGAAAAGTCCTTCATGAGATGGGAGGAAAGTTTGCAAGGGCCAAAGGATGGAGATTTTGATTTTTTTGTGTGTTATTTTTATATCCTTTACTCATTCTTAGCAAAGGTCCAGCAAGTGAATAGGTACATTATAAGCAGCCCAGGGCGTTTGCTTGGCCTTTCAAAGGAAAAATAAAAAAGTAGTTACACGATGCCTAAGGGCAATTCTAGCCAATCACTTCCTGTGAGATGAAGGAATCATACTGTATTTTTGACTTCACTTTGTAGCTTTCTCTGAATATGTCCTGTGGACTTTCGTGAACAATTGTTACCAAGTGGTGATAGTGGGCATATGTGTGCATGTGTGTATGGGCACATCTGTATGGGGTGGGGGCAGTGCCATATTCTGTTTTATTTTTTGGAATTAAAACATCACTTTCTGGGATGGGTTTAAGGGTTCAGAACTCAAGCTACCTCTGAAGGAGATAATATGGGGCAAAAGAACAAGCACTTGGCTAAGATTAAACAGAATCTCCCTATGCCTCATTCTTCTTGTCTTTAAATGGGAATAAAACTACATTATAATAATAAAATAATAATTTTTTTTTAGATGGAATCTCACTCTGTTGCTCAGGCTGGAGTGCAGTGTGTGATCTTGGCTCACTGCAGCCTCTATCTCCCAGGTTCAAGTGATTCTCCTGCCTCAGTCTCCCAAGTAGCTGAGATTACAGGTGCATACTACCACACTCGGCTAATTTTTGTATTTTTAGTAGAGACAGGGTTTCACCATGTTGACCAGACCAGGCTGATCTTGAACTCCTGACCTCAGGTGATCCACCTACCTTGGCCCCCCAAAGTGCTGGGATTACAGGCATGAGTAACTGTGCCTAGCCTGTAATAATAAAATAATAATTATATTTCGTAGAATTGTTGTGAAGATTAAATGAGTTAAGATGCACTCAAAGTATGCAGCAGTGCTATATACCTAGTCATCACTAGCTCATGACTATTATTATTTTATCATTATTAATAAAAGAAACTGAGCTTTAAACCTAGCTCTTCACTAACCACCAATATAGCTCTTATCTCCTTGTAGTTCGGCTTCCTCATCTGTAAAATGAAAATAATGCTACCTGATCCATACCTATCAACACTTTTTTCCCATCCAATGAGATGACAAGTGTGAAAAAGTATTCTGGAAAAAATAGAATGTTAGAAGAATGGAATGCATATTTATGTTTTAGTCCCTGTTTTTAGAAAATTTGGAGCTATGCTTACTGACTACGCTCTATGTAATGGTAGATGTTATATTGTATCAGGAGCTGGTGAATGAAAATTTACTCTTGTGGTCAGTCAGGCAGCATGGAAACCAGCTCCCCAAACAGTGAGGGGCATATGGAAAAATACAGGTAATGGCATAAATCCACTTGGCAAGGGAAAAGCTGAGAGTTCCACTACCCAAAAGCATTATGTCCAACGAAAGCATCTAAAAGCACGGCGATTGGTGATAACACCACAGCTGCATCATGAACAGAAGCTTCAGAGTTAAAAGACACACGCACACACACTGTTCCGAAATGAGGGGCACCTGATAGGGACAGGAATACTCTGGCAGCTCATGCAAAACAGAGGCACTCTCTAATCACAGGAAGCAGTCAAGACAGGGCCTCCGACCTGCAGTCGAGAGGGTTCTTACCTTTTTGACATCCCTGACCAAGTGGTACAATGTATTTGAGGGCCCATGTCTCTGAAAACAATAAAGAAGAATCAAACAGTTTTGCTAGTCAGGGGCTCTGGTTAGCAAGGCAAGAAGGATCTGGAAGGAAGGGCTCTGGCTGGTGGAGGGCAGGTCACCAAGATGGACCTTGTTTTAGTTGCTCAGTGTATCTGCCTTTTCTTTCTTTCTTTTACATTGTCCCCATTTGCAGATGAAAAGCTTTGTCAGTGACTTTTGTTTTGTTTTGTTTTGATGCAGGTTCTTCTGTTACCCAGGCTGGAGTGCAATGGCGTAATCACAGCTCACTGCAGCCTCGAACTCTTGGGCTCCCTTTAGCACCCTGAGTAGCTGGGACTACAGGTATACAACACCATGCCTGGCTAATGTTTTTATTAAAAAAATATTTTTAGAGATGGGATCTCACTATGTTGCCCAGGCTTGTCTTGAATTCTTGGCCTCAAGCAATCCTCCCACCTCAGCCTCCCAAAGTGCTGGGATTATAGGCATAAACCACCGCACCGGCCATACCTGTTTCTTCTAAACAAACACGTTGGCAGATTTTTGAATTGTATTCCCTCAAGCAAATGTATTTGAGGTTCTAGGTTCAAACTTTGTAAGGGAGGTTGTCAACTCTGTTGACAGCTGGGCCAAAATGTGATGGAAGAAGCCAGTTTTGCAGCTGGGGGCCGGGATGAGGGCGGGAGAACAATAGGCCCTATTGACCGCATTGGAAATACACTTGGGCACTTTGCCATCGCAACTTGTTTATTACTCATCATGAATGAGAAATTGTCTAAGAAGAGGGTTGGCCAACTTTTTCTGTAAAAGGCCTGAGAGTAAATACTTTAGATTTTGTGGGTCACACAGTCTTTACTGAAACTGTTCAACCCTGCTGTAGTAAATGTGCAAGTAGCCATAGCTCATATGTAACAAATGAGCCTAGTCATGATTCAATGAAATTTTAATTATTGGCACAGAAAGTCAAATTTCATATTATTTTAATGTGTCATAGAATTTTTCTTTTGATTGTTTCAACCATTAAAAATGTAAAAAAAAAAAAAAAAACTTAGCTTACAGCGCATACAGAGATAGGCAGCAGGCTGGATTGGATGACAGTTTGCTGCAACTTGATTTAAAGAAAAAGCCACAGACTGTTTGGGGAAAAAAGAGTTTTGTAAAAAAAGATGGATGTTTGTTTGAGGTAAATATAAAGTGAAATAAGTTGCCATTCTATTGTCTTTTAGGAATAGGAACGTGAGATAAAATCTAAGATGCCTAATTAAATTTGAATTTCAGATAAACAACGTACAATTTTAACCTAAGTATGTCCCATGCAATCTTTGGGATATAACAAAATTGTCTGTTGTTAATCTGAGATTCACATTTAAGTGGGCATTCCTGCATTTTATTTGCTAAATCTGGTTAGATTATCAGAGAATCTAAAATAGTGATGGCTTTTTTTCTTTCTTTTCTTTTTTTTTTTAGTTAGTCTTGCTCTGTCACCCAGGCTGGAGTGCAGTGGTGTGATCTCAGCTCACTGCAACTTCTACCTCCAGGGTTCGAGCAATTCTCCTGTCTCAGCCTCTGGAGTAGCTGGGATTACAGGCATGCACCACCACGCCCAGCTAAATTTTGTATTTTTAGTAGAGATGGAGTTTCATCATGTTGGCCAAGCTGGTCTCAAACTCCTGACCTCCAGTGATCCGTCCGCCTCAGCCTCCCAACGTGCTGGGAGGCCACTGCGCCCAGCCAATGGCAAATTCTTAAGCACTGTTGCAACCATTCAAGTATTTAGACAGGTCTATGAACGGCTGCAATGACCTGCCCATTCAGGTGGACATGCCCATCAGAGCTCTTTTTCCACTGAGGGGATGCTGGATTGTGCAGTGATTGAACCTACAGACTCTGGAGTCAGAGTGCCTGCCTCTACACCTCTGCCGCTTACCGGCTCTGAACGTGGGCAAGCTACTTAACTGTGACTCAGTTTTATCATCTTTAAAATGGGAATGATAGTATCACTTTATCTGATGGGGTTGTTGTGAGGATTAAATGATATAATGTTTATAAAGCTATTAAAAATGGTGCATAATGCCAATCAGTGTTAGCTATTATTATTACTGAGGCTATTTACTGTTGCATAATCCTCAACAAAGTATTCTGGGAAGCCATCACCAGCGGATTGAAGTGATCAAACTTACTGGCCTTTCTCAGTCTAGAATTTTCCTACCCCCCGCCCCCCGCCCCAGTTTTTGGAATAAATTACTCTACTCCCTTGATTCTGTAATTGATAGGCCATTCAATGCTTGTCTTTATTTACTCATTTTTTCAAGTTGAAAACCCATCATTCTTCCTGAAAGTCTCAGTATGCTGAACCAAGAAAAGTCTGTGGAGAAAACAGAAACCAGGAGCCATTCTGCTAACCCGTTTCTATTTTTTGCAGATGGTGCCACGGTGGTACCATCTAACAACTACCACTGGCTGGGGACAGGAAATAAGCTCCATCCTGCTTGCCCTCTGCGTGATGGGACAGAGACGTTGTGAAAATGAAGGGTAGAATAATCTCAGAGACAGAAGCTTGGGTTCGGTACTTACTGGCTTCTTTCTTAGGAGTTTTGTGACCTTGAATTCACCTTGGCCTCTGCTATGGTTTGAATGTTTGTGTCCTCTCCAAAATTCATGCTGAAACTTAATTTCCAATGTACTAGTGTTAAGAAGTGGGGCATTTAACATGTATACCTGTGTAACGAACCTGCACATTCTGTACATGTATCCTAGAATTTAAAGTATAATAATAATAATAGAAAAGAAGTGGGGTCTTTGGGAGGTGATCAGGTCCTGAGGGTTCCTCCTCTGTAAGGGGGATTAAGGCCATTATAAGAGAAGCTTCACACAACATTCAGGCCTTTTGCCCTCTGTCTCTTCAGCCTTGTGAGGACACAGCGTTTGTCCCTTCTGGAGAATGCAAAAACAAGGTGCCATTTTGGAAGCGAAAAGCAGCTTTTGCGAGACACCGAACTTTCCAGAGCCTTGATTTTAGACTCTCCGGCCTCCAGAACCCAGAGAAATAAATTTCTGTTGTTTATAAATTACTGAGTCTCAGGTATCTTGTTACTGTAGTACAAATGGACGAAGATAGCCTCAGTTTCCTCATTTGTTAAATGGGGGAAAAATTTCTGCTCTTTAAACTTCACTGGATTTTAGTACGAGCTCAGAGTCAATGTACTTAACTAGTGTGAACGCTCTCAATAACTTCATCAACAGTAGTTTTACCTATGATTACTCCTTGGTATCCCTAGTGAGTAAATTACCAAATAATTACTAAGCTTAAAAAACAAACAAACAAACAAACCCAAAATTTTTGAGTAACTCCAAAGAGATATTTTACCTTTTATTCCATTTTATAGCTAAACTATGAAGAATGAACTTCATAGCTCTGAGGATAATAAAATGGTGTAGGATACTTAATTGGCCTTTTTTGATGCTTAGAGTTAAATCAGTCCTCCTTTGCTAATTGCCTCTAACACCCTCTGGCCTTACAGAACAAACTGTGTTCTCATTTCCAGAGCCTTGTGGTTTTGTGTAAGAATATGAGAATGACACACTCAGGTTATCACACAACTTTTTGCCTTAGATGCTGACAACTGAGCAATTAAAACAAGCGGAATCTTGGTGACTTGGTGTTTGTCATCTATGTAGGTCTAAGGGAGTATTTATGATCAATGAACCATGCATTTGGAGAGGAGAAGGGAAGAGAATCACAGGCATATGGGGGGCAGGAGGAGGTAAAACAAACGAACAAAAATGAAAATAAAAAGTGCCTTAGTTTGGCCCTACCGTATTGTACAATTCCTCTAGTCTGGAGATGGTGAGAAAACGGTGCATGCTTACTCCATTCTCTATGAGTAATTTCACAAAATCCACTCTGTCCAGAACTAAGGCATCCAACATGGCTTGCTCCAGAGATCCCACCTGCAAACCAAGTCACTGAGTTAGTCTGCCCCAGGGTCTATCTAGGACTGCAGTTCTTTAGTGCTCACTTGAACAGCTTAGAAAGGGATGCCTTTGACATCTGGTAAACCTTCATCACATCTAAGAACATGCTAGCAAGACTGTTCACAGATTCACTTTTGGGACAGCCACAACCCCTCCCATGTTTGGGGGCCTGTCTTTGCAAATAAAAGTCAAGCATTTCTAGTTCCAAAAAACTATTTCTTCCCTGAATCTCTTGTTCTGGATCTCAAGAAGGTGCAAGTGTTCACAAGGTTTTTCCCCTTGCAATTATCTGATCAAACGTCTCAACACCAGTGAAGTGTCAAAGGGGGTACGTTGCTGTCTTCATTTTTGTTATCCTTAGGCTCTGAGGGAGACCACAGGCCGACTTGAGAGGAAGGTCCCAAGTCAACAGACCAAAGGCCCTAAATCAATGCTGGGTCTCTGTGTAGAGGCAAGACCACAAAGATGTCACTGAACTGAAAAACAAAACAAAACAAAACAGAACAAAACAGAACAACCAGCCTACTTTCTGGATTTGCCAGTGGCTTAGATTTTTATTCAATTCATTTCACAAAAATGTCACAAAAATGTCTAGACTCTAACAAATCTTTCCATGTTAGCAATCCACCAGCACTGAGTGAAGACAGGGCTCAAGCCCAGGCAGAGACTCTCTAGGGGAAAGGAAGTAGTAAGATAAGGCCTGCCAGTGAGTGCTGTGATTCCAGGCACAGACATCAAGTTTCAGGCTGCTGGGCTGCCTCCTGTGGATGCATACATATACCACCTGATGGCCAATCTCTCAAATTTTTATTTTTGGTAGAGTCAATTGAGGGAAGCAAACCAAGAACAGTTATATAAAGCATTGGTTTCCTCATGTTGTTCTTTGCAAATAGGGAGGACCTGTGCTCAGCTACCAGGACCAGATGGTGCCTGCACAGGGAGGCCTGCTAATTCTGCATCCTGAGGTGTGACCCAGCCATAAACCAGCGGGGGCTGCCACCACTTGGGCAGCAACCTCTTCCCTTTGCCTCTATCAAAGACAATCAGAAGCAAATTAATAATTCTACCCCTTCCTTAATTTTAATACAGCTTTGTCTTATATTTTTTTCAGATGTATTCAAATAAATGGCATCATTTGCAGCTGAAAATTGCTATTAAAGACAACTCACAGAGATGGAAATATTTGGAGTTGTGTTCAGTTGAAATTTCCACTAGATGGCGGTGCTTTCCTAAATATGAGAAAAGGAGCCCAGGACAGGGACTTGGCTGCCAAGGAACACGTTCCATCTTAAAGAAAAGGTAATCGTTTTCTGAGCCCATCTCAGAGGCTCCTTAAACAAATACCCTTGCCCAACCAAAGTGGGCTTTTCACGGGTGACGACATATACTCTACCGGCCACTGTTGCCCGTAAATAAAGATCTGGCTGCGAGCGATGTCAACTCTGTTCCAGGCTAAAGCTAAGCTCAGTTGGTCTGGGGCCGAGGCATTGGCTCCTGTGTGAGGACAAGTGGGAGAAAAGAGTGGAAGAGAGAAAACAACGATCAGTTATTACACCAAGAGCACCTGCTCCATCCCTCTGCCATTAATGCCCCTATTCCTGAAGAACCAACTTGGCTATCCAGCAGGTTTCTCAAACTTGGTGTTATTGACATTTTGGGTAACTCTTTGTCATGGGGCTCTCCTGTATATTGTAGATTATTATTACAAATTTTTTTTAACTTTTTTTTTTTTTTTTTTTGAGACGGAGTCTCGCACTGTCGCCCAGGCTGGGGTGCAGTGGCCGGATCTCAGCTCACTGCAAGCTCCGCCTACCAGGTTTATGCCATTCTCCTGCCTCAGCCTCCCGAGTAGCTGGGACTACAGGCGCCCGCCACCTCGCCTGGCTAGTTTTTTGTATTTTTTAGTAGAGACGGGGTTTCACCGTGTTAGCTTTTTAAAAAGAAGGTCTTTGAAGCTCCATGCTTTTTTGATATATAATACTTGTACATGTTTATGGTGTGCATGTGATATTTTGATGCATGCATACAAGTTCATTGTAGATTATTAATAGCACACTTTGACTGAACCCAGTAGATGTCAATAGCACTTCCCATCCCCATCCTCCCAGACATGATGCTCAAAAATGTATTCAGACATTGCCAAATGCCCCCATGTGTGAAGGGAGCAAAACTGGCCTGGTGGACAGCACTGCTCTACGGTCTGGCTAGGCAAAGTGTGGTTCACAGAGCAGCTGCAGCAGCGCCACCCTGGCACTTGTTAGAAATGCAAGCCTCAGGCCCTGTCCCAGACCTACTAAACCAGAATCTGTGTTTTCACAAGATCCCAGATGACTTGTGTGCACACTCAATTTCGAGAAGCTCTGCTCTACCACACATTTTGCTTCTGCTGGCCAATCACTAGTTTCAAGGCATCCCTTGAATAGTATTTTGCATGGGAAGGGTGCTTTCATCAACTAGTGTACCAACTTGCCATTTTCCTGAAAAAGAGTTAGGAAGGTCTTTCAACAGAGAGGCAAACCAGTGGCTTAGGTTTACTTTGATTTGTGGGTAGAAGCCATTGGAACTATTTCTCAGGTTCTCATTTTTCTCTAGATTCTGTCTCTAGAGCGGTGCGGTTCACAGGTGGCTAAGTTTAAATGAATTAAAATTAAAGAAAATTAAAGTTATAATTCCTCAGTCAGGCTAGCCACATTTTAATAACTTAATAGTTCCACGTGGCTAGTAACTATTGAACTGGAAAGCACAGATATAGAACATTTCTATCATCACAGGAAGTTCCATCAGCCCAGATCTCGCCTAGGTGAATGCATCCTGCCCATAGAGGCAGCCTGCCAAGCAGCTGGAGGGGAAGCTGGAAATGGAGGCAGTGCAGTAACTAAAGGAACATTAGGCTCCAGGCAGGAGGTCCAAGTGAGAGTCCCTGTGGCTGTATGGACTCCTCTCAGCCACTGTGGATCATCTGTGAAATGGAGGCAATAAATATTATCCGGTTTGCGTGACTGGGGTGTGAGACTGAAACGAGATTGTATAAGTGAATTCATGTGTAAACAGGTTTTTCACAATTCACCAACACCCTTAGTGCACTGAAGAAGAGACACCCCTAAATATTTGCCCAGCTTCATGCTGCTGGATATTTCATGATCAGGGAGGAGGATAAAGAGACAATCTTCCTTGGCTCAGAGTTTTTAAACATCAAACATGTGCTGGGCAAAGTATTAGGCACTTCCGCATGTCATATGTAACATCCCAGTTAATCTGGGGACTGGGTCTTATTGTCTCCTGTCTCACTGAAACACATGAGACTACTGAGATCCAGGGAGGTGGAATAGTCAAAGATAAAACAGCTACTAACAGGGTAAGTGGAACAAGTATTCATCAAACCAGAGGTGAGAGTCAGATCCGGAGAATTCTTCTTCATCATTGCTGCTTCTGATGTTTGGGAAAGAAAGACAGCAAATGTGTATGCTGTTCACTCCTCTGGGTCTGCCAGCAGTCAAGGCCAGAAACAATGAGGAGGGGGGCAGGGTTCCTGGTGGTTAACTCAGATCAGTGATTCCCAAACTTTGCTACACATTAGAATCACCTGGGAAGCTTTCTCAGGGTGCATCCCATACCGATTAAATCATGTTGCTTGGGATGGGATCCAGGCGTGGATATTTTTAAAGCTCTCCAGGTGCTTCCAATATGCAGCAGAGGCTGGGAACTACTGCGCTGTGTGCCTCCTTTCCTGCTTACCCTCGCCTCTTCCCTCTGGGCTCCGAGATACTGACATTATACATTAGGCAAAAAATATTTGCTAAGTGAATACTTCTCAAATTTTAGCATGCGTAAGTACAACTCGGAGAACTTTTTAAGACACAGGTTCTTGGGTCCCAGCTGCAGACCTGATTCAGTAGCTCTTGGGTGGGGCCTAAGGTTCCATGTATCTAACAAGCTCCCAGATGAGGCCGCTGCTGCTGATCTGGGGCCATGCTTTGAGTAACAAGACCCTTGAGAGCTGTGGTGCTCCGTTCCCTTCATAGGTTGAAGAGCATCTCTGATTCTGGTGTCCACACGTTAATGCCCTTATTACTGACCACATACTTGAAGTAAATTTATTAGTGTTTACAATGATGAGTATCATTTCAGCTTTCACCTGGAATTTTCCATTAAAAATTATTTATCTCCTCAGGTAACAACAGGGACTGCACACTCATACCAGGGTAACTGGCATACACAAGTGGTAAGTAGAAATGTGTCAAAATATACTGTCATCAATTTGGGGAGGAAAAGAAGTGAAGGCTCATTGCGATTGCTTTTGGAAAGGTAGCACTTTACGTGTTCCTTTGCTTCTTTGGCTGGTCTACTGGTTGGTGCCAACTTGCTGGAAAGGTTTAATCATTCCCTTTGCCATTTGTATGTTACAAATTAGTATATCACTCAAGTCAATAATAGCAGCTCAAGCCTGAACAGGGACACATAGCAGGAAGCAGTTATTGAGGTCAAGGTGAGCTACAGGCCTGAATGTAATTAGGCAAGTGTCAAATGAAAGCATGAAACCAATGAATCTTGACTTTCAAACATTGAAAATACGTCACTCAAGAATGGCCGTGGGTGACAGTTCAGATCAGTGGTTCTCAGCTAGGGTGACCAGCCATCCAGGCTTGCACAGTGTAGTCATAGTGTTAGCATTTAAATTCCTGCACTCTGGGAGATGTGTCAATCCTGAATAAACCTGGTGGCTGGTCACCCTATTCTCAACTATGGCTGTGCACTTGGCATTGCCTAAAGAGCTTTAAAATATACTCATGCCTGGGGCACACCCCCACAGATTCTAGTTTAATTGGCCCTGGGCATTGCAGTTTTTAAAAGTTCCCCAGTGATTCTAATGTGAGGATAAAATTAAGAATGCCTAGTGTAGATAGTACATGTTCATTCATTCACTCATTCATCTGTTCATTTAATTATTTATGCATTCAAAGATAATGATTTTATGCCTCCTCATATGGGAGGCAGTATGCCAGTATGAGGACCAAGATGTATAAAGCAGAATACTTTGTCTTGAGAGCTTACAGTCAAGAGGAGAAGTCTGTAATTAAATACATTCTTTCATGCAGTAATTCATTTATCTCCTCAACAGATATTCGTTGAATACTTTCTCTGCTGGGAACTGATTTGTCATTGAACATCCAGTGACAAACAAAGTAGCTAAGGTCAACCTCTTCACAGAGCTTACATTCTACTGGTAGCAGGGAAGTACTCGGAAGTAAGCAAATAAACTCATGAACAGCATACTTTCAGACTATATAAGTGCTGTGAAGGAGCAGTGCCACTCCTCGGGTATGTGGGACCTGTGCTTATAGAAACAAATCAATGTAGCAGAACCATTCTGACTATCCGATCTTGCATGTCCCCATGACAGAAGTATTTTGCCAATTGGCTGGAGCAATCTGATGGCCAGGCTGCCCTCCTGAAATGAGGGCTAAACATGGAGTCATTGGACAACCAACGACAAAAACCACATGATTATCTCAATAGATGCAAAAAAGGCCTTCAGTAAAATTCAACACCCTTCATGCTGAAAACTCTCAATAAACTAGGTATTGATGGAATGTATCTCAAAATAATAAAACCTATTTATGACAAACCCACAGCCAATATCATACTGAATGGGCAAAAGCTGGAAGTATTCCCTTTGAAAACTGGCACAAGACAAGGATGCCCTCTCTCACCACTCCTGTTCAACACAGTATTGGAAGTTCTGGCCAGGGAAATCAGGCAAGAGAAAGAAATAAGGGGTATTCAAAGAGAGGAAGTAAAACTATTTCTGCTTGCAGATGACATGATTGTATATTCAGAAAACCCCACCGTTTCAGCCCCAAATCTCCTTTAGCTGATAAGCAACTTCAGCAAAGTCTCAGGATACAAAATTAATGTGCAAAATCACAAGTATTTCTATACACCAATAATAGACAAACAGAAAGCCAAATCATGAGTGAACTCCCATTCACAATTGCTACGAAGAGAATAAAATACCCAGGAATAAAACTTACAAGGGATGTGAAGGACCTGTTCAAGGAGAACTATAAACCACTGCTCAAGGAAATAAGAGAGGACACAAACAAATAGAAAAACATTCCATGCTCATGGATAGGCAGAATCAATATTGTGAAAATGGCCATACTGCCAAAAGTAATTTATAGATTCAATGCTATTCCCATCAAGCTACCATTGACTTTCTTCACAGAATCAGAAAAAACCTATCTTAAATTTCATATGGAACCAAAAAAGGGCCTACATAGCCAAGACAATCCTAAGCAAAAAGAACAAACCTGGAGGCATCACACTTCCTGTCTTCAAACTATACTACAAGGCTACAGTAACAAAAACAGCATGGTATGGGTACCAAAACAGATATATAGATCTATGGAACGGAGCAGAGGCCTCAGAAATAATGCCACACATCTACAACCACCTGATCTTTGATAAACATGACAAAAACAAGCGATAGGGAA